CCAGATCCCAGCAACCTGCTGCCAGTCAGGACCGATACGGGGCAAGACAATCTGTCCTGCTGTTAAACAGCTCCTGTTTTATTTTTGTGGTATTCTGTTTACAGCTTGACTCCTGTCTGGTCTGAATACTTTTACAGAAGATGAGAAATGCAGGAATGAATAGAGATCTGCACCTTTACTTGATCTCTCTTATTTCACCTTCTCCAAAACAAAAGGGAGAAACTACTCACATCAAGAGTCAGAAGAGCACATTTTAAAATCAAGAATGTACATGCAACGCTTGCCTCCAGAAACTATAAAGTTCTATTAAGATCATATATAAAAGAAACCCAGCCCATTCACCGTACAGAGCAAGGTAACCCACAGTTTATCATTGCAAAGGTGAGGAGAGGGGAAACAGTTTTATAAATATAATCAAGTTAATTCTCTAATATACAGAGTTGCAAAAATTCATTGTCATCTGTGTAAGAAAGGTATCATATTGTAGTCCCTGAATAGCACTTTTATGACCTGTCCACCCACACAAGTCCTTAAAAGTTGCTGCTGAGACACTAAAATATTAGGCAGGTTAATCATATATTACAAAGATTATAGTTTTGTCTAAAAACAGTTTCAAGCATGTACAAAATAGAGCAAAGACAAAAAGCAAGAATAATAAATCACAACTTCATACAAAAACAGAAGCAGTGATGCTATTAAGTAGACAAAGATATCCTTCTGATCTTGTTCCTCACTCAGCATGAAATCTAAGATCATGCCCAATGAATTTCAGAAAGATCACATTCATATAAATGACACACATCAGAAAGTTGAGATGCTTAAATTATGCAGGACATTTGAAGTATTAAAATCAGAAGTGCAGTGCCATGACTGGTCATTTCTACGCTCAAGGCAGGCAGGTTTCTTTTGTGTTCACCCTTTGCTCTCTAAGCAGTGGCAGCACACACATGTAGAAGGAGCAACTTGCCAAGCTGAAAATATAAAATGGCCATTAAACTTGTATTTGGGGATTGGAAGATCTGGAACGAGAGAAATTCTGCATCCAGTTCTCTCCTCCATTCCCATCTATATGCAATAGCTGCATTTTCTTTACAATGTTCTGGCTCGCCTGCTGGCCTCACTAAGCCTCCCACCAAGCTGGTATTTGGCCTTTTTATTTACCATTCTGACAGCTCATCAACTATTCTGAACTAGAAAGAAAATTTTACACCATTTAAAATGTGAATAGTTTACATTATCTTTGAGGTACCTTTGCACTCATGTCCAGGTTATGGCTGGTGCAGATAACCCTTCTATCTTGCCCAACCTTAGTTACCTGAGAGAACTGATGGCAGACATGATGTCTATGTTTCAATAAAATTACAGAATTATTCTTAGTGGGCCCTGTCACTAACTTTTGGAACAGTTTGTTTCAAGAGGTCTCTTTTTATTAACTTGATGGTAAAAATATATGTTTCCCATTGTGTTTGAGAGATTTATTTATTTATTTTTACACTAGCCTCTTAGGGCAAGCACTTTTGTGGGTAAGACCAGAGATCCTCACAATGGAATACTGCTTCTCTTAGTAGCAGCTATCATACTATGTCACCTCAAGCACAACAAAACAAAAGTTCCTGCTTGTTCCTGAACACACAGTTGTGGTACAGGATGGTGTTCAGAGGATTCCAGATATAATGATCTTAAAAGGCTATTTTTCCCCCTTTGGGTTCCTTGAAATTATCTGTCTCCTTTTTCAAATCTGTGAATCCTTCCATGTTCCTCAGATTGCCTTGTAGCAGTTTTCTTCAACCTGATGCCCTATGGATGTGCTGAACAGCAACCCCTATCATTCCCAACTGACTAGGAAAGATGGGAGTCATAGTCCAATGCATCTGCAGGGCATAGCTCCAGTGTTTTCAGGAACATAAAGCAACTGTTTTCTTAAGTAGCAGCAGTATCTAACACGTGTGGCTTCAAACAAGGAAGTTGATGCTGGGTTGATCTGGTAGCCACAGACACCTTTCACAGCGCCCGAGTGAGTCCATGCTTGTACTCCAAGAAATGGTTTGAAATCTGGTTGTGGGAAGAGTGCTATGTGGACATATATTGAGGTATAGGATACTGTAGAAATCTTCCATTTTGCCTGCCTTTTCCAGAAATGACATCCTGCTGAAAAACCCTAACATTTGCGCAACTTGTAGCTCGCAAAGTTTAATTCAGCCAACTTACGACGTTGGGCAGGTCCAAGTGTTCCATAAGCCCCATTACTGCTGCCTTCTTTGTAAGTGTGCAAATAGGGCAGTTGCTAAGGAACTGCAAGCAGCTTTGTGCATAGGCCTGCTCAAAGTGAGAAATAACAATGCTTCCTGGTTTGCTGGAGCTCTGTGCATTCCGCTCTTTTATAGTCATTCATTCATTCATACAGGCTAGCAAAGTGCTACTAACAGCTTCAGAGCTCCTGTCCAACCCATCTCCCAATAATTTCCAAGGAGAACAGCCACAACCAGTTCCTTCCAGCCACTGTGTATGCCAGCAATGAAGGGGGTGATTGACCTATAGTCGGGTTTGACCTTTGGGTTACTTTGCAATCCTCATATGCATTGGTATCACTTTTGATACTATTCACCATTCAGGAGCATTCCTCTAGTCTCCTTTTAAACCAACATGGATAATCTGTCTTAAACAAACAGCAACCAACAGTTATAAACAAAATTTCAATGCAAACTGATATAGAGTTCCTTTACTGCAGAAGCACCAAGTCATGCTAACTCCTCTGAATAAATTGTTTAAACATTTTCCTTATTTTTTAAAGCATCATAGATATGCACTCTCAAAATAACTTAATGGGTTTCTTACCATTTGTTGAATAGGACTCACAACTGTGGCGGCGGGAGTGGATCATCACCTCACATCTGAGCTATATTAATTCATGCTTATGTGCAGAAAGTGAATACTCATCTGCTTTAGTTGTTGGACACAGAGGCCTGTGAAAGCATGCTGTGTGATATTTTTAAAGGGCCTCACTTAAAGAGTATATAGAAGACAGTGAAGCAGAGTGTATGGAAATCCAAGGTACATCATGGAGAGTTGAATATACTTCACAGATACTATATGTGAAAGTCTAAGCCAGCAATCCTATATCAACTTACTTGGAAGTAAGCCCAATCAGTTCAATAGGACTTACTTTTGAGTAGTCACAGATAAGGTTGCACAGTGAAAGAATAATCTGGACTTCTGTGCACCTCTCTGTTTAATCATTTTAGGATAAAGACTACTCTAAGTGGCAAAAACCAATCAAGTAGTGAAATCAATCAACAGTGGCTGATCCAGGAAGATGAACAAAATGTGTCTAACCTACCAAATCTGGGCAGCTCCAGGTGTTCCATGGGTTCCTTCACTGGGACTGTGCAAGCAGGGACAGTGTCAAGCACCCGGTAGGTTGTCATGCAAATCTACCTGATGTACGCAGGACACCAACTGTGGCTAATATTGATGGGTCTTCAATGAGAATAAAATTTCCTAAAGTCAGTCATCAAAAACCCCTGTAGTGGAATAGCTGAATTCAGAATGGTTTCTATACTGCTGCCTTCTGCAACTCACTGGAAAGGAGACCACTACATTTAACCTTCGCCAGGTTCTGGGATCTACAGGCTGACAGGTGTTGGGCACTGGCAAAATTGTCTCTAGGTCTTCCAAGTTCCGCTCTGTGATCCTTGGTTTATTATAGATACAAATTAATTCCTCTGGTATTTAAAGGGGGTTACAAACAAATGTTAGGAAAACAGAATGCTATGGTCGGGAGGGGACACATACCTAAGGTCAGAAGTTGCTTCTGGATAAAAAGCAGGTCATTCAATTTTATATGAGCTAAGCATGTGATCTATTTCCCAAATGGAAATGAGGATTTGCCTTAATGTTAAGTCTGTACTCTAAAGCTAAGAGACCTTTTCTAAAATCTGTTCTGTACGCCTGAGGCTTGATGCCAAGATGGCTGAATGTAACCGTTTCACTCTTATCAGAGACCATGATTGAGATCCACAATCATTGCTCTTAATAGTTAAAATTACATGGCCAAAGGCCACGATCCTAAGCAAATGATCCAGCAAAAACTGTAAAGCTGGCTGAACACCACAGAAGCCTCCAGGAGAGAACACCTCAGGTACAAATATTGGATGGCAACTAATTTGCTTGAATGGCAACTCCACAATTAAGTCTCTTTTTTTAAACTAATGTCCAAGAATCGTGGTTCTAAGTCTTAGGGAATGTTAACACAGAAATATGTTGTATCCTTACTGTATGAAAATAAAAGGAGTGGAAAGAGGATATTTGGCCATATGGTATTTCTCCCTAATTCATCAGTGTATGAAAAGATGGTGAAAATTGTACTGCTCTGGCTAGTTAACGTTTTGTATATTTAAAGCATATCCCTTTCCAGGCACAACTGCATCCAGAATTGGCAGTGCTAAGATAATATTTTGGAGAGACCCAAGCAGCCAGGCCTTAACAGGAAAATCCTTCCAGATTCATTGCAGCCTGCTCTAGTATTTCTTTAGCTATAAGAAAAAAAGCCAACCTATCTGATTGTATCCCTGCTGAAAAGTTTCAAAGGCAGATCAGGCCTCCGTGTGGTTTGACGAAACTGTTGCCACATTAGCACATTGGGAAGAGCTTTGAAATTCAGGGTGGTTCAGTAGGCAACAAGAAGCAGATGGAAAAGCTGGTGACAGGAAGGTTTACACCAAAATTCTATGTATGTCTGCTCAGATATCAGTCGCTCCAGTGGTACTCGCTCTCAGGGAAGCATTGTAGGCTTAGGGACATGCGTCAATGGACTGCCTTGATGCCAATTATATCATAGGGTGGTTTGGCTGTTTCTGGTACCAGGGAAAATGTAATTATTGTCATGAGCTTTACTCCTGTTGAGGGATGAAGGTCAAATTTGGGATGCATTGTAGCGGGGTGGGGTATGGGGTATGCAAGAGACATACAAATATATATCTACATGTAATTTTAAAAGCATACTTGTATTTGGCACAGTTTTGTTTTTGGAGGGAATGTTTAAAATTTTCGGCTTTAAAAAAAGTACAAGAAGATGTGAAGTTAAAAGAGTATCCAATAAGGCCACATGGCAAGTTCATCAAAGTGCAGGCATTAACCAAGAAGAACTCCCAAAGCATCCCTGCGGCAAAGGCGTGGGAGGCGGGTGATCCAGTCCTAAAGATCCATGTCAGCAGTGCCAGAGGAGGTCTTCAGTGGCACGGAGTCAAAACCATCAGAGGTTCTCTAAAGACAACAGAAAAGCAGGCATGAAGAAAGTGAGACAACAAGATTTCATATATTGCCCTCAGAGCTCCCTCCATTTGTTTGAATCAAGTCAGCTTTTTCCATACCCTTGTATTTAGTAACATGGCAACCCTTGTATTTAGTAACATGGCAACATTACATGAGGAATGTAATCCTGTACCCGACACTCAAGAAATGCAGGGTGCAAGCAGCTCCATCTGGCTCTCGGATATAACCCTCCCCTTCCCTGTTTTCCATGCCTGCTGGTGGGGTATTCAGTAGCAGCTAAGAAGCCCTGGAATCATACTGGGACCTTGTTGTTGATGCTCCGTTCTTCTCCAGTCCCACAAATGATGAGAGTAATTAGTGCACAAAGAGTCTGGAAAACAGCAGCTCTCAGGATACCTGTCACTAAAGCACAGGTCAGCTGCTAGTGAATACCCCTGGATGCTTCCATACTAGCCCTGTTTTCCAGAATGGACATCATTTGCTCAACCAGTTTTTAATGAAGTACCCCAGTGAAGGTTTTGCCAAACCACAATTTCTTTCTGTGTTTTCCAAGTAATTGGTTCTTAGTTCTTCTTTGGTATGCCCACTTTGATTACATGTCTTTTTTTCAGGCACAGCAATTGCTCATTCCTCATTTAAAAATTACTACTACAATCACAATGGCAAGATTGCAATAGTTACAAATCCAGAAAAAAAGTATTCCTCTAATTATTTAAGGAATTGCTTCTGCTTCACAGGGAATAGGTTCTGGTTATTAAGGCCAGTTTAGTACTGCTAAGACTGGATGCAAACAGGAAGCTATTAATTAAAAATTCAATAGCGGAAGTTGCTTTAAAAAAGAAATGGGGAGACGTACTGATTGAAGAACACAATCCCAGGTTCATGTTATAAGAAATACACCCCAGCAAACCAAATGACAATTATTTCTGCATGGAAACACTTTGAATCTTGCCCATGAAGATGGATATTGCAAGACTGTTATGGTGAGCATAGCCCTATAGTAGGGTCCATGTGGACCCACACTGTCATGTCCTACCTGGAGGAGGATTTTCGGATGGAGAAAGCCAGCACGGCAGGCCCCAGTCACAGTCAGACTGAGGCAGGGGCTGAGGCTGCAGCTGACTGCCTTCCATTAGAGGAGCAACCAGGGTCCTCCTGAGCTGTCTCTGGAGCTCAAGGGCAGGAGCTGGTGCAAGAAGGAATTCACCCCATAGCACGGAGACCCAGCAGAAGTTCAAGCAGCTGGCTGAGCATGGAGCTTCCCATAAAGCAACACGTTTACCTAATTAGTCAGTTGTGCTGATTTACAGCTGGCTATACATTAGATCAGACAGAGGCTGCTGCTTATGGCAAACAACAAGAATTGCTACTGGTTTGTTTGGCTTTGCTGAACACTAATAGGATGGCTAGACTTTATTTATTTAAAACATTTGTATGCCGCCCAGTTGTGCCATAGCACCTCTGGGCAGCTCACAATTACAAGATAAAAATACAATTAAAAACCAATAACACAGTAAAAATAAAATAGTAATAAAATACAAGCAAAAATACAAAACAAAGGTCTTATGGCATTAGTTATTAAAATATATTTTTAAAGGCCTGCTTCCTGGACATTGTTTTGGACTAAAGCTCTGGGCACACAAACTGTACAGCCTTGAGCTGTGGATTGAATTGACTATTTCGTTGAAATGTAACTTAGGCACTTGGCATCTGTGGCACAGAGCAGGACACACCAGGGCAATTCTGTTTCCAACCAAGTGCAGAAAAGCAATGCCTCAGCAGAGCAGAAGAACCATACTGTGAAAGAAACCCCACTTGAATCTCAGAAGAGGCAACAAGTGGTGAGGATCTAGCCCTGGATCAGACTTGCAAAGGATGAAGATTATCAAAAGCCAGGAAGGTAACAAACCTGATTCACATATAATACTTATCCATGGTTTATTTAACTCATGGTCTGTTGCCCTACCTGGGTTGTCTGGTAGACAGTTCAAGAAATGGTAGGTTTTCTCCTCAATTCCTAGGTTATTGGAGTTCCTTTCTTCATCACCTACCCCCTCTTTTTACCCCAAATAGTTTTAAGGCACTACAGTACTGGCATGTAGAGCAACTGTTGTTGTTGTTTTTTCCCCACTTGTGTCGACTGTAGCCTGGTGAAACAACCCATGATTCTGGGTTTGTATGTAATGACAATCAATGGTTTAAACAACCCAGAGGTAACAGCCCAACAACAAACCATGAGTTCTCTTTCATGCTTGCCCAAAGTTAACAATCAGTGGGTTGTTAATGTGGCCATATTTACATGTCATGACAACTCACAATTCAATAACCTATACCATGTGTTAGTGTTGTGTGCAAACCCAACCAGAGCCAACCATATATTACTATGAACAGCACAATGAACAACCCCTTGTTCAGAGACAAGCCAGGATGACCATGTAGTTGCAGCTTGAATGAACAACCATTAGGGTATCTCCAGTACAAATATTCCACCTCCTTGCTTCTCTTGTACAAGGGAATTAAAAACTGTGGCATCCATCTTTGAGAAAAGGAAGTCTACTACTGTAGAAAAGTGGCAGCATAGCCTGGATTTCCTCAAAGATACAGACTGCCTACCTCCCAGCCAGATATCATTAGATAACCGTCATCTCAACAAATGCCATTTGTTGATTGTTGCATGCATTGTGGCATCCATTCAATTGTTGCAGCCTTTCTCAATGTGATTCCTTCCAGATTCCCCAAGGTGACTTCAGCACCCAGCAGCCCCAGCCAGAATAGTTCATGGTGAGGGATAGTGAGAGCAAGAGGGCACCAGGTTGGGGAAGGCTCCTTTTAGACACAGGGGATGCAAGACAGTACTATCTATATTGGGTCTCTATCTACCTGGAAGACTCCTCCTCTTAGTTTATTGAGAACAGCCCTACACACAGAGTCCTGCCATGCCTGATTGTACCTAAGAGAAGCCTAAGGAAAACAAACAGCCACATTAGGAAAAAAAAAGCTGAACATAAAGCAACGCACCATTAACCCCAACATCAATCAGTGCAATCGGAAACACAGCAGCACATGCAGACCACGTTTCAGGCTGAGGAATCTCGGGGAGGGGGGCCTGGAGTAGGGAAGAGTTCTGCAGTAGCCATCTTTTTTTGATAGGTGTCAGGGCCACGCAGCCACAGTGCTCTTCTGCATCTTGGAAGGTCAACTGTATCTGATGTATTTACTGGGCATGGGTGTCCTTTCCACTTTTGCTATTCATCTCTGCATTTGCAGGACAAATGAGGAGGAGGAGGCGGGAATAATCCATCTCCTCAACTACAACCCTTGAGATGTACACAGTCTGTAATGAATACTGGCAGAGAATATTGCATACAAACAGCCCCCAAATTTAAAAAAAATTCAAAGGACATTGGCCACTAGAGAGAGATACATGCACACCTCAGGGATGGATTGCATATTAGACAAATTAGGGAGCTGTCAGCTCAGCTGTGGCCTCTCCAGTTAAACATGACACGGTGGACATCTGTCAGGTTAGATAAACATTGGAGCCAAGCCCAAGGCCTTCATGGGCCTTCACGGCCCCTTCCAAATCTACTATTCTATGATTTCTTTGTGTCAGCCCACTATACAGGCGGACTCTCCAGAGTACCTTACCTTTGAGGTGAAAGCCTTTATTTTGCCAAAGAGTGAATTCTTGCTTGCGAATATCAGGTCGTCCTCTGCATCCTCCCCCTCCATGATTGCACAACTGTCAGCGGCTGGCAGCTCACTTTCCTTGGCACTGGCATTCATCACCAGCTTGGAATATTTATACTCTAACCTTCAAAGACAGTCGCAAACACAGAGCTAGGCAGATTAGCAGAACTTTCAGGCAAATGTCCGGTTTTGTTGGCTCTTGGGCAACTGGATGTCAGTGTGACCCCTGGGCACTGCCCATTGTGCTTCTAGACACACCCTTCCCTCTTTGACTCTTGCTCACTGGCCTCACCCTTTCCTCCTCTATTCATAGTCATTCCCACCGGCCTCCTCCCTTCTAACTAAAACAAGTCCTGAAATGTGAGAATTCAACTCATCTTGCCAAACTATCCAAATTCAGTTGCTGAGTCTGCATTTCCAAGCACACCTATTAAGGAGCAAACCATGCAATGAACAAGGTGGATCTGCTTCTGCGCAGAATTGCAGAAGGCTGCATAACAAAGTTCTTAGTGTCTAAAGGATGGCAAGTCACATTTTAGTTATTTTTCCAGTCACTGATTTGTGGAAACACTTTACATAAAGTTTTTCATAAATATGAACTAAAAAGATCTTTCTTTACACTGTGGATTGTATAGAAATCATACAGATAGGAAGTGCTATCCCTGCTTTTATACTAAGTTTGGATCCTAGAGATAGAAGACTGGTAAAACTCAGTAGAAAATCTGGAGAAGCTGAGATCTGCTTCAGCCCATAATGGAGCAGCTAAACTGCTACAGCTAGAAAAATGAATGTCTCTTTATCCCAACATGTGCCCACACTCCAAAAACATGCACAGACTGACTACTTATTTTCAGTTTCAAGATCTTATTTGTTTGTTTATCTAAAGGAGAATGCATGCATGGTGAGGATATTTTTCTTTCTAGAGCACAGGTACTCGAAAGTTTGAATCACAGTTTCACAGTTTCACTAACACCCATCTGCACACAAGACAGTACATTTCCAAGGAGCAGACAATCCACATACCTGCAATTTCCCTTCTTCCCAGAATATCCAGCTGCTGATCCTTGCTGGGGTATATTTCAAAGCTCAGTGTACATTGCAAAGAACTCTTGCCTCCAGTTTGAAATGCAGACCTCTTTACTCAGTGCAAATTAAAAAGCTAGGAATTTCTCCATTTCAAGTAGGTGATAGGAGCCCTCACAACTGGCAGAGCTGCTCAAGAATAAGTTTCCAGAATGGGGTGCTTATGCATGCGTAGTTGCAAGGTCCACCAGCACATTCAAGAAACAGCCTTTGTGCCTGAGGTGGAGCAGCAGATTCCAGCCCCTCACCCTTGTACTCAAGGCCAGTCCAAATTATTTTGACACTTAGGGTGCAAAATTGCACAAGCACTACTTGCGGAGTGGCAACTGTGACAACTTCTTGGGAGCAGATCCTGGGACATTCTCATTTGCAGAAATAATCTGCAGATTTGGGGGAAGTAGCATCAATGGGGGACGCCATGCCTTGCCTCGCAGTGGCTGCTCCTGGCTAGTTAGTGGCCATGCACTCGCATGATGCTAACCACATGCTCAGTGCCCCGTGCCGCCCATCGGGAAGGATTTGGGGATCCTGCCTCCTCGTGGCCACTGCTCCAGTGGAGAGGGCATCTTTCTACAAGCTGTATTCCTCTGCAAGCTGCCCCTGAATAGGGCTACAAAAGCACGAGTAAAGGCGGTAAAGCTGCATGCACTCACGGTGTCTGAATACGAACTGGTGTCGTTTTGGATAGCTTGGGTCACAATTAAAATGGAACAATGTATAAAGCTATGCATCTCTCTATTACTCCAAAGGTAATTATCTTTGCATGCTGGCTTGCAGTTTTTGCCTTAGTCTGTCTACCAGATTGGCATGGTTGCCACCTGATTTGCAGGACCAATGGAAAAATACTATTTTATTGCAGCAGGTGGTAGGCAGAGACAGCAAAAGGAGCAGCTACTCACTTCTGGTTTTTCTTCCAGAAGTAGCACGTCATGACAGTCAGCAGGACAGCAGCACAAGTCCCAGCTGAGATGCCCACTTTTAGCCAGAAGTCCATGGTTTTGCAGATGCTGACTTTTTGCTCTGGAAGTGGGATGCCTCCTGCACAGAGCTTTGGCTCCCGCCACACATACGTGGTTCTCTGCAGAAGGAAAAGCAGGTATGCGTAATTTGGTTATGCATAACGAAAGAGAGAAGCGGCAACATGCATGCAAGCCACCTTGCCAGATAAGCAGCAGTAGCAGCTGTAGCACTAGAGAGATCCTAAAGGATGTAAATGTCTCTTAGCCAAAACAGTTTATGCACTGTTTGCTGGAGTTACATCTGAAGAAGCTGTTGATCGTTTTAAGGCTTTTCATCTACACACGCTTACATGAAAACAATGGAACTGACTTTTAAGCAAATGTTTTCACAGGCAGACTATAAGATTGTCTTGTGACACTTCTAGCAGAAATCATGGTTCCTTCCTCTCGGAGTTATTTGCGTGTTTGTTCATTAACGGCTGAGGCACAATTTCTGTGAAAGGACGGCCCATAAAGCCTCACATTCTCCTTCCACAGTGGCCAGCCAGATTCCTGTGAAGAGGCCACAAGCAGCACAGGCGTGTCACGTGCCCTGCCAACCAGGTTGCCCAGCAGCTGGTATTCAAAGGCTTTCTGCCTCTGACACTAGAGTGAATATGTAGCTTTCATAACAAGTAGACATTAATGTTCACATAACTGTATGCAGAATGTGCAGCTCTCAGGCCCTGAAAAAGAATCAACACTTCAAAGACAGGTGCCAAGTTTCTACCTGAATGCCTCCAATGCAAGCACTGATGATAGCATGGTAATCATCTGCAGAACAGAGGGGACAAGCTTCCACTGTCTCCCACAGGAAATGGAATGTGCATCCATCACAGGTTCCTTCAGGGCATTTGCTGTTTGGAAGTGGTAAGAAGCCATCTTAAAAACCAGATCAGAGGCCCAGTTCTCCAGTATAAACAACAGGTCTCAAAGTCTAGCTGTTGAGTGTGTTAGACAAAGGTCTTTTCTCAGGCCCGCTATACCCTTAACCAGCAACACGGCAGACTAGTGCCATGGCTTATGAACTGTACGAGAAGTTTGCTATTGAGTCTAGAAGCAACTTATAAAATCTAAAGGTTGCTTCAAATTCTGTCTTCAGAGTACTGCACCACAATTCTTCTTTGAATGGACCCAGTTCACCTCTACCTTTTAAAAGGATGAAGTTCATACAGAAGTGGGATGCAGTTTGGTAGGTGAAGAATATCATTTGGAGTAACTTTTTGCAAATAGCAAGCTGCATGGGCTTCCAACCCAAACCAAGACTGCAGGATGCTGACTGAGCCTGTTTCTGTACAGGTGAAGCACTCTGGGCAACTCAACAATTCAAACCATATAATACAACAGTGGGGGAGGGAGCAGAACTGAACTCTTTCCCCTGTACATTTTTCCTTATCTAAATCCCCACCCTCAAATTATTATCTGACCCGGGAAGAAAAAAAATATGCACAATTATACGTTTTCCCTGCTAGGACAAAGAACAAGTTAGCAGAGGATTTTCATTGTGAAAATGGCATGGGAGGGAAGTATTAGCTCTCCTCTCCTGCAACACTCCAGTCCTGATCTGAATCTGAAGACTATTTGTGGCTGCTATTTGCAGAACAGAAATGGGGATGCATTTTCGCATTTAGGTTGGTCCTTAATAGGAGAAAGATAGGGATCACGATTTGTTCAGCCCTCATTAAAACAAAGCAACCCTCAAGAAGGTCAGGACAAGAGTTGTTAACCTAAGAGTCACATTCATTTACAGGTAAATGGAGGCTGCAAGTAGTAATCTGCACACACAAATACATAATAGGCTGATACCTGGAAAAGTGAAATACATAATCTGTTATTATATCACTTGATATGAACAAGTCATAGCATAGTGACAGAGCAGTGGAACTGTTGTATAAATGCAGTCACAGAGTACCATCTTCTCTTTAGAACTAAGCAGGGGTCAAAATAATTCTGCTCATTTGAGCAGCGGCCAGCTGTACATAGCTAAGAGTGACTAGCACCAAGAAAATTTCCCCCTTTCCCAAAGGAACTGTTAAAAAAAAAATCAAACTTTCAGGGAGAAAGTTTTCCTAAAACTAAGATGCAGAACTAACTTTTAAACTGATAAACATACAAGTGGCACTTTAAGCACTATGTAGGAAAAGATGGACAGCAAGTGTAGAGTAGGTGGAAACTGAAATTTACATCCCCATTAGCAGTGTGAAGAAGGCACAAAGAAATGAGACATTCCCTGCAGAAGTGGGAATGAGTCAGCTCCTAGTCTGGGATCTACCTGCTTGCTCCAAAGACGGATACTAACCTGTATATTATACATATGTCATTGCAATGCTTCCCTCTTTTACTTGCGATTTTTGTCATCAATTTCTAGCTTGCTCCACTGAGTTTGTACAGGCTGAGCAGGACTCAGAAGGACAGCACATACTGGAGGGCATTCATTCATAGGGTTGTCGTAAGCTGGAGATGGCCCGGCAGCATACAACAACAACCACTGCTGCAACTCCTGTTGACATACCTGCATTGCCTTCTCTACCTACCTCGGCACAGAAAGGGCTCCAGACTGGGACTTCAGGGGATCACATCGTACTCTGATAGCAGTAGCCCTCCCATCGCTGCACGTCTGGGTCACATCATTTGATCTGCATGCAAAGTAAATGCAGCAGTTATGAAATCCCTGCCAGAACTGGCAACACAACCGCTTGCATCGGAATTAGGCTCATGGGTACAGTAGCTCAGGTACAGAAAGACGAGACGAGCTCATCATGCCACCATTCTAGAGGAAGCTGGGAATCTTCCTTCTCCCACACTACCAAAAACAATGGAGGGTGCCCCCAAATGAGGGTTTCAGTGCACCATTGCCCTGCCTCATTCACAGGATTTTATGGGTGGGCGATCCGGGCAGCATTGTCTTCCATGCATAATCCTCCTGGGCTTTCCCTTGGGGATGTGTTCAGGTTTTGAGACAGGCAGGTTCCGGAAGGCCAAGGCCTCCAGAGCAACCAGTGATGCTGATATACTGTCAATTATACTGCCCGGAGGAGTAAAAGTGTTTATCCACAGAAAGAAATGGGCAAGACCTGCCTTGACCTATGTTGGGCAATCTTGTAGCTTACCTATAAAAGAATATCACATCTGGTAAGCCCATATTCTCTGCAGGGAAATAGTCAGCAAAAGAAGTGATATTGTCCAGCGTGGGCTCTGTTGTTACTCCTATAAATTAGAACCGAATCAGTGAGAAGGGCACTGCATAGAGAAAACAGTGACTGCTGTTCCCAGGATTAGCACCCATCACCTCCCCCAAAGTACACTGTGCTAAAGAGGCTCTCTGCACAGGAAGGGACGCCATGTCTTTGTTGTCATCACTACTTCCAGCAAATAGGTTATTTTGTTAATTGTCTTCCTCACAAACTCAGACCAGAGCTGCAAGTAAGGTTAGCCCCTAGCATTTGGTTAAAAACTCTGTTGGCTAGTGTGTTTGACCTTGCTTTGACTATAGGGTTGCCAGTTCTTTAAGACAAAACTTTAAAATCTGGTTGCTGGACAAGGGGATGGGACACAGGCTAAGCAACCACACTGGCCTTGTGGATTTTCCAGTCTGTCATTTTTAGGGCTGGCCCTGCTGTGAGATTTATTGAGGCTCCTGTCTCAGGCAGCACATACTAAGGGGTGGAAAAAATGGCAAGGTATGAGAGGGCAGACTTGGTGTGGTGTGCTGCTCACCCTTGTTAAGCCAGCCTAACTGTCCTCAGGTGGCAACTGTCCCATCTCCAGTGCTGAAGGGAGCTCAACTGCCACTCTGGTATAGTGTCTGGAGCCGCTGTCTTTGCGTGTGCCTTGGGCCGCAAGCCACCTTGGGGCAGCCCCAGCCATTATGTGACAGCCACAAGAACAAACACCGCCCAGTCACCTGAGCCAGCACCTGAGTCACCCATAAGGAGTCTCTGTCAGGTAGTGGAGTCAGTCCGTGTTCAAAGCACAGACTAAATTCCCCCCCTCTCTCTCAACAGCAGCTCTCACCTATAAATCGATCTGCAAGGCTCACGGGCTGTGAAGAAAGTACTGTTTTGAACCCCATCGCATCAGAGGGGACAATGACTGACTGGCACACATAAGAAGAGGTTGCTTTGGAGAACTCTGCCTCCTTGCCCAGGATATGTATGTCCGTGACATTATCTGTGCAGACAGCAGTTTTCCTTCCCTTCAGAGGAGAGAGAGAGAGAGAGCGAGAGAGAGAATTGGCAGCACCCTTGTCTTTCATTGCCATTTCAAAAGCCTGATTTTGAAAAACAGAGTAACAGAGCATTAAAACATAAATCTCTTTCACCCAGCTAAAGGGAGACAGATGCATCACAATGGTGGAAAGTTCCTTTTAGCTAACGACTTGAGTTTCTTTAGGATCTGAGCCTCTTTTTGTGGTGTTTCATTCAGCAAGCCTTAGAACAGGCTAAAATAGTATGGCAGCCGCAGGGAGGCAATGCTGCTAAGGAAGGGTTCTGTGCTGTAATGGCTACGGAGAAGCAGTGTGAGGTTCTGAGGCAGCACTAGGCCTCCCTCTTCTGGCCAGAGACCAGAATAGCAGCCCTGGTGGTTGCAGGACTGGGCCCTCAATCACGACCTCATGGGATGTTACGAGGACCACCTGGGAGCCCTGAGGGAAGAGCTATATAAGAACCTTCCCTTCAGATACTGCCTCAGCGATGAGGGACTTTGGTGTTGTTGGAGTGCTCTGTGCCTCCTGGAGCTTGTTTCTGGAGACTGCTTGTTGCCTTGCTCCTGCCTCTGCTTTTAGACCATGCCTGGCTTTATCTGCTTGGCCTTCTGCTCCAATCTCAGGTGTCTGCTTCTCCTTGGCTTGTCTCTTTGGCTTTCAACTCTTGACTGACATTAACTGCTCTGCTCTATTTGAATAGACTTACCTTGCACTTCTGTTACCCACCTTGACCTCTGGACTGCCTGACTATGATTTGGAATGGGCCTGTGTGTGTGTGTGTGTGTCTGTCTGTCTGTCTAATTAAAACATTTCTATGCCGCCCCCATCACAACAAAGCCTCGGGGCGGCTCACAACAAAAACAAACAAAAGCATATAAAAATTATACAATAAAAATATTAAAACCCGGTGCATCTCGGCTTAAAAAAACAAACAAACAAACAAACTGGTTGTCTAGGTCCTGGTGCCCTGACCTGATACCCAGCTGCCCATGCCCTGGATGCTGACAAGCAGTAGCACTTGGCGATTCTAGGGGTGACTCACCCAAGGGGATCACTTCCACCAGCCTTTCCCAAACATGCAACCTCCAGAGGGAGCTTCTTTAGATGCTGTGGATTAGATACATAGCTAGAGGGTCTGTGCAGGGGAGGGCTGACTTACACGTGCCCCATGTGTGCAGGAAGCATTTCTCAGAGGGCTTAATGCAACCTTGCTTCATTCAAATACACACAAACATACTTACATGATTCCCACACAGGCTGATGTTGAAATGATGAAAATACTTCAGCCCTTTGGAGGTAAAACTCGGTCCCCCTAAAAAAGATGTGCTATTGGCCAGGGCAGAGAAGTCGTACTCCAGAGTCCTGCCTTGTGTAGTGACTGAGAGGTGACAGTCATTGTAACAGAGAGAATGGATCTGGGAAGCAGAATGTCAGAGTCAGTTTGTTTCCTCACTGAGCAGTTGTTGATTTCTCCAGCAACTCTTAAAATACCAGTTTATCCTGACAGAAAGGAGGGCATTGACTTGGCTGGTGATTCTAAGGCAGCTAGAACATACTGCTTCAATATCCCATATGCTTCTGCTCACAGGATTCTTTTGCTAATGATACAATACCCCCAAAGAACTATGAGGCTATCATAGCACAAAACAGAATATGTGGAGAGGAACTAGTTAGCTGTTTTTGTGCCATTTTGCAGGAAATAGCTAGCCCTCCACAGGTAATTTAAATTTTTAAAGCAAAACTCAGGGATGTTTCTGTAAGAGAAGAATCCATTTCAGGTTCCAGGTTTTCAATCTTGAACACACAGAGAAGCTTTTTAAACAACAAAAATACATTGTTGAGAAATTTGGAGAGGTTACTACATCCTGTTAATCTTTTTTCTTTTTTTTTCATGTACGGAGTGCTCGCTATACAGCTACTGTGTTTTGATCTTTCCTTGGGAAATGTTACCCAGTAAAGCTCAAGGGTAACGTGATGTCATGAAGCAGCCATTTCACTGCATACAATTATTGCTGCTGATAGACTGACATGTACTCTCTGCTCAGAGCTCACAAAGCTAGGTGTCAATGTGTCTAGAGAAACTACAATAGGAGAGACATTCAGACTCAAAAGTTCTACAAATCTAAGAAGAGCGTCAGCATTTTGTCATGTGCCATTCCATTTGCTTCAAGTCTCTCTGGTGTTGCGGACATTACTTGGAATGGGCTATTCTAAGAGCAAGGTATGTTCACCCCAAGCAATTCTTCTGGGTGGACAGGAAGGGCAAGTCCCAGAGCCTCAGGTAATGCGATGCTGCTGCTCTTATGGATATGCCATTTATATCCCAAAGAACAGCACCAGCACTAATTGTCAACAGTCCAATACACCATGTGAGGGGCAGGCCAGGCTCCCCAGCTTCTAAATAAACCTGCTGGCTCACTCAATGGCTGTGCGGCATTTAATCATGAATACCAATTTGGTTGAGGATATTATTCGATTTTTTTAACATTTAAATCCTGCCTTTTCCTATAAGGAGTCCAAGGTGGCTTATATGAGCCTCCTCTAACTCTCCATGTTATTTTCAGAACAATCCTGAGAGGTACATTAGGCTGAGAGCCAGCAACCGGCCCAAATTCACCAAGTGAGCTTCATGGCTGAATAGGGACTAGAACCCACTAGAATCTGCTGAATCCAACACTCCTTGTCCAAATTCTCTAACCACTATGCCACACTGGCCTTCATGGGCTTAGCTTCTTCATATCTTGATGCTTATAGGCAATAACAACAAATCCATTAATACATAAAAACTGCTGATAGTCCACATTAGTCTGTTAGGAGGGAAAAACCAAATGAATAGCATGATCATTAGGATGTTCCAGGCCAGTGAGCAAGTAGTGAACTCAACAGCTTGCTCCATGCTTTGGGACTTGTTACTCGTCCCTAATATCGCCCTGCTGTTGCTTTTAGGCACTTGAAAGCATGGCCCTCTGCAGATTAATGTATTTATAGGCCCCTTGTAGTACATGTTTATTTAGCTAATGATCACTGCAGCTAATGATCACTGCAATGAACTGTCACAGCTCAGGAGCAAATCAGTGGTAAAGATGACAACGGTACCTTGTTGCTTTTTGTGCCAGGGCCACAAGGGATGCAAGCCTGGCTGCCATAGGGCTGGTGAGCTTTCAGATACGTATTTGCTGGACATGGCTGGCAGCCACCAGAGCTTCTGTCAATGTAGTGACCATGTGGGCAGGAAGTGCAGGAAGAGCCAGAGGATTCCAGAGCGCACACTCGGCAGTAGGAAGCGACACCATCGATGACATTAGTCACATTGATAGAATAGATCCTGGCAACATCATTTGTGTATTTTCTTCCCTGGAACAAACCATAGGGAGTGTCTTGGAGAGGCAGAAGGACTTGATAAAGGGAAGGCAGGATGTCACAGGGAGTGGTGTGTGCATCTAGCTGCAACCACTCCCGCGTGCAAGGGGCTGGAATAGCTCTGCTTCTTGGGGGCTGCCTCAGAGAAGGATAACTGAGGAACTGGCTGTGAAATGAAGTTTTAGGAAGTGCTAGTCCTTACCGCCTCGTGGTACGCTGTCCTTTGGAAGGCCCATGTGAAGCTCATGGTGGCGTTCTTATCAATGACGTACGTGTAGGACTGCTTTCCCTTAGAGCCAACCCAGGTCTCCACAGGTGTATTGGTTCTGGAATTCACACCCTACCAAGGTTAAAAGGTACGGGCCCATGGTGAGTAAAGAGAAAGCAATTGTTTCTACTGAAACAAATCTTTAAAGCAGATGCAGGACAGTCCTGTTTTCATAACCTGAGGATGAGGTAGGAGACATCATAAAAATCTTAAAATAATGAGCTGAAAATAAGGTGAGATGGGATATTTTTGGGGAAGGAGGCTGAGAAAGGACACTGAGGCTGGGGAGAAGGGCTGGCAGTAAATAGGAAATATTTCCACGCACAGCTTTTGGAGCCTAAGGGAAAGTGATGTGGGTCCTGGCAAAGAAAGCATGGAGTACAGCTATTTATTTAGTAAAACCAATGATCTCAGGTTACTACTTTAACAGTTCTGATTTCCTTTTCTTCCCTTTGTTGATCTATTTGTGCATGTACCACTGGGCTTAGTAATGCTCACATACATGTGTGTATATGTGTACATGTAACTATACAACATTAGTTCAACTCCACAGACATCACTGTTATGAATGGGTTTTTAATCTATGTATCATGTACAATGTTGTCTCTTTTTTCTATTTCATTTGCCATAAAAAGCAAGAGAGCAGGGGAAGATGCTGATATGTGTATGTTAGTAGATTCCATGTTGATTCACATCTTTTACACAATTAGCAGGTATGCCGTGTGTTTGCATGAGTTATGCCATAGAATTTAGATGCAAACATGCTTTTTTTCCAACTGCATTTGTATTATAAAGGGTCACCAGGCCAATCACAGCTCCCAACAACACACATGCAGGGCAAATTGCTAATTAATTTGAACCTCTCTGACCTTGTCTTAGTTCTTAAAAAGCAACCCTAATATTATACAACCGTCTACTAAAATGAAATTTTAATGACAGATTACAAGAGAAACAGTTATGCATCTAAATTCTTCCAAAATTCTCAGGTGGTATTGTGAAGGGGATCAGAATTTTAACTAGAGCTGGACTCCTCGCAGAGGTGATATTGTTAACATGCGGGAGAGCTCTCACGGGACTGTACTGCTTCAGCATGCAGCTCAGCTCACACCACACCTCTAGAAATCTTCCCGCATTAACAAACATCCCTGCAAATGAAAGCCGGTATGTCTTGGAAAAGAAATTCTTCTCCAGAAAATACCAGTGTTCCACATGCAGGAAATATCTAGCACAGGAGATCTTCTGACTATTTATACTTCCTAAGATTGGAGGGAAGCGCCTTTCCCTGTGTCCGACCTAAGGTGGAGACATGGCTGATAATGTCAGAAGACAGGGCCTTCCAGTGGCTGCCTCAATTTTGTGGGACAGGTTGCCTCAGGATACTGGTGAAGACATCTCTATTCCAGCAGCCTTTTGCCTGATAAGTGTTTGTTTTGCCCATGGTCTTTGTTTATTATTAACTATGTATTGGATTTATATCATCTTGTATTTTTAAGCTATCCTAACTACATGGATCTAGAAAGGAGGCATACAAACAAAACTGAATTCTCTGGGGATTGCCTCCCCACCCCACTGCCACTACTTCTCTTTATATATAAACTAGCTCTTAGGAATTCTGCCAGAAAGATACGATAGAAATTGAGCAAGTCAATGAATAAAGAATGCCTTCAATTAAGCCTTGTTTAATGACCTTGAACATGCACCCTAAGAATGAAGGGGATAAGCACTGTTAGCCAAGAACAAATCAGGGAGTACTAGACAGTGCAGTGGGATAGCCAGTTCTTTGCTGTGTGTGCCAGGTAGGGGTCCCTCCCCCGCACATGGTATAGATAATATTATGAAGGGAAAGACAACCAGCACAATTGCTAGAACCTGCTGGTGCAAATGTATCCTTAAAAGAGTAATGGCATAATCCTACACATGTCTACTTAGGAGTACATTCAACTGAGTACTAAGCAAGTTACTCTCTAGAAAGAGTAATTGGGATTATCGCCTACAGCAGGCATGTCCAAAGTCCGGCCCGGGGGCCAATTGCAGCCCGTTTTCAAATTTCGAGTGGCCTGTAGCCTCTTCTCCCTGCCGGCTCAGCCTGTCACTCATCCCCGCCAGCCGGCGTTTTTCCTTTCACCACACAGCGGTTCCCGCAGCTGTCCCCTGCTGCCTCCTGCTCCTTCAAGGCTGGTGGTTATATTTCACCAGAAGATGGCAGTAGACCTGAGTCAGCACTCTCTTGTGACACAAGGCTTCTGTGCCCATTTCTAAAATGGCCACTAAAATGGTAACTAAAAAAAGGAAAGTTGACAGCGAGGGCCGCCGCTTCCAGGACAAGTGGAAATTGGAGTATTTTTTCACTGAAATACGAAACAACTGTGTCTGCCTAATTTGCCAAGAGACTGTGGCTGTTTTCAAGGAATTCAATATCAAGAGGAACTACCAGACAAAACATGCTAACTACAACAAGCTAACTGGGAATGAACACGATGAAAAATTGAAGGAACTGGAAGCTGCTTTAACGGCATAGCTGCGCTTTTTTCACAAGAGTCCGTGAGTCAAATGAAAATGCCACAAAGATGAGCTACGAGGTGGCAACGCTGATTGCCAAGCACTGCAAACCTTTTACTGAGGGTGAATTTATTAAAGACTGCGTGATGAAAATGGTGGAGAAAATTTGTCCTGAGAAGAAGCAAGAGTTTGCCAATGTTTGCCTGGCTCGTAACACGTGGTACGTAGAATTGAAGATGTTTCATCTGATATTAAGAGACAGTTAGAGGCAAAAGGAGTGGAGTTTGACTTTTTTTCGTTAGCCTGCGATGAAAGCACGGATGCATCTGACACTGCTCAGTTATTGATTTTTTGAGAAGAGTGGACAATGACATGAACATGAGTGAAGAGCTACTTGACCTCCAGAGCCTTAAGGACCAAGCAAGAGGAACAGATTTATTTTTTTCTGTTTGTTCCGCCATAGATGACATGAAACTACCGTGGAATAAAGTCACTGGGATTATTACGGATGGCGCACCTGCCATGGCTGGCGAGCAAAGTGGATTATCAACCCTAGTCTGTAACAAAGTCAGTGAAGAAGGAGGTAAAGCTATAAAACTCCACTGTATTATTCACCAACAAGTTCTCTGTGCCAAACATCTGAAATATGATCATGTTATGAAACCGGTGATGAAGGCTATTAATTATATTCGCTCCAAAGCCTTATGCCACCGCCAGTTTCAACAGTTTCTACTCGACATCCAGGCTGAATATGGAGATGTTGTGTATCACAACGAGGTAAGATGGCTCAGTCGGAGGTCTGCACTGCAGCATTTCTACTCTCTTAGGGAGGAAATCGGACAATTCTTGGCAAAAAAGGGACAACCGATGCCAGAGCTATCTGATCCTGTTTGACTGGCTGATTTTGGATTTTTAGTTGACATAACACAACATCTGAACGTGCTGAACACGAGCCTTCAGGGGCAAAATGCAGTGGTAAGCCAACTGTATTCACATATCAAAGCCTTTGGGACCAAGCTGCTACTTTTCCAAAGGCACCTGTCACAAACGCAGCCCAATACCACACATTTCCCTTAGCTGCAGGAAATAATGACCAGTTTTCCACAGAACAATATGAGTGCGCAAATAAGGAGGTATGAAGCAGACATCTCATCTCTGGTTGAGGAGTTTCAACAGCACTTTCGGGATTTTGCAGCTATTGAAAAGGAGATCACACTTTTTTCATCTCCTTTCTCTGTGGACCCTGATGATGCTCCAGACCACCTGCAGCTGGAGCTCATTGAGCTGCAGTGTGACGCCGAGTGTCACAGTCGGCACCAACAGCTCCCTCTTGTCAACTTTTACCGCCAGCTGGATAAAGACAGGTTCCAAGAGATTCGAACATTTGCTAAGAAAATGCTGAGCTTGTTTGGTTTGACATACTTGTGCGAGAAGACATTCTCGGTTATGAACATTAACAAGAACCGCCTGAGGACGAGACTAAGTGACTTTCACCTGCGTGACATCTTGCGCATCAAAACCACTGCTTTTGAGCCAGACCTGGCCTATATAATGCAGTCAAGATCTCAGTATCACCCTTCACATTAGTGCAGTTAAGTTATCTGTTTAGTCTTTCATAAAATAGTTCATTTGCATTTAATGTTAATGGTTCAAAGAATGTCAGGCTGAATGGTCGGCCCCCACACATTTTCACCTCACCAAATCTGACCCTCCTTGCAAAAAGTCTGGACACCCCTGGCCTACCGTATGAAATGACTAGGTGAAGAGATGCAGCCTGTGGGTGCCATCCCATGCGTGTTCAGTTTGAAAAAAAGCCTGCAGCTCCCAGCAGGCCTTTTCTCTCTCTAAATATGCACTGGATTGCACCTCAAAAATCTGAGCAAACCTTATTTATTTATTTTATTTATTTAAAACACTTCTATGCTGCCCCCATCGCAACAAAGCCTTGGGGTGGCTCACAACATAAATAAAACATATAAATATAACAATTATACAATTAAATTAAAAACCCTGGTGACATCTCAGCTTAAAAATTTTTAAATCCTATAAATACAATAAATTAACAATTAAAATAAGTTTTAAATAAAAAGGTCTCTGCCTGGTGCCGAAAAACAAATAGCGACGGTGCCAGGCGAACCTCTCTGGGGAGCGCATTCCATAGGTTGGGTGCCACCGCAGAGAAAGCCCTCCTCCGGGTACTCACCCTCCTAATATCATTCACAGAGGGTTCCCGGAGAAGGGCATCTGTTGCTGATCTCAAGGGGTGGGAGGGCATATATGGACGCAAGCGTTCCTTTAGATACCCAGGTTCCAAGCCGTTGAGGGCTTTATAGGTCATAACCAACACCTATATGTCTATAGCTGAAAACTTGGGAGTCACAACTGATAAAATTCAAAATCATTTCTGTCAAGGAAGATAAAGGTCTTAAGTGCAAAATTCCAGAAATCAGAAAGAGTTAAGAAATTTTTTAAAAAGCATGGGCTACAAAGGAAGGAGATTGTGTCCCTTCTACTATCTGGGATCACAGAATCTGAAGGAAAACAGAGCAGGGGTAAAGCTGATGTACTTTCATGGGAGAAGTAGCCAGATAAACTTACCACCATGAAATAAAGCTCACAATTCACACTGCAGATGGTTTCAAAGACAAAAGTTATGGTTGCTATCTTCTTATTTTCAGAGTCCTCCATCACTGACTGTGGGGGACTGCAAGAGAACAAACAAAACTCAGATAGTATCTACTATTCAAGGTACAGGTGAGAACTTTGCAGGGAACCATGAAGCAGAGATTGAGTGGCTGAAGATGGACCACCTCAGTTGGTCAGATATATGTTGTGTTCACCATTAGCTTGTTTGGATATTGAGGCTGCTAATGAATCCTGGTCAGGAATAATTTGCTCCATGATACTTAGCAAACCTGTTGTCAGGTTCTCAGGTTACATTTTATTTGCAATACACTCAGAGAAGCTGAAGGCTGCCAGCCCGATAAAATCAGCATTTCATTCATACATAGGTATTGAAACCTTGGCCGCTGCCAGCACATGGCCAGATGAGACAGCTGTTCAGAGCTTAACATGTTCCAAGGTCCTGTTAAACTTCACAGCTGATTCAGTCCTTCACCCACCCTTTGTGCTGCTGCCGGTTTAAGGCTGAATTAAGGACTGTGGAAGTCCTGCAAGCAGAAGATTGTCCCTGGGAGAACAGGGAATGGCCCACTGCCTTGAGACAGTGCTCCACTGTCCCTACTGTCTTTCTCCTGCACAGTCTTTCCCCTGCTAGCCCAGCTACAAACTCACCTGAATCCAGGGATCACCAGTGTCAAAATCATGAAGTCATTGTCAGAGGCTCCGGCTGCTGTATAGATGTAGTCACCAGCCACTTCCCACCCTGTCAAGAGCAAGCGAAAGTTAACCACATGCAGTCTTCATTCAGAGAAAGGGGATTGTCCCCATTGGATGCCATCATGTTCAGTCAGTAGCTCCATATGCATGGAAGCACTTCAAAGAGACACAGGAAGCCTGATTTCCTGAGATCGGAACTCGACTTTAGGAAAGAGCTGCCATGGCTCCTGCTGCTGCAGAAAACAACCACCCCGTGCCCAATAACACCTCACACTATCAAATACATGACCAGACATCACTGCAGTGGCAAATTGCCACCCCACCTGTGGCAAATTGCCAAGGTCAAGGTATCTCACAACATGGTGATAGCACATGCATGTCTCCAGGAGACTGAGGAAGAGACAAGGAGCTGCTGTTTCCTGCAGTGGTTGTGAAGCTCCCACAATGCCCACTTCCCATCTGGAAATGCTTGCATCCTGTGCCATGCTGTGCTCGTCAGAAAATCTGCTTCTACAGAAGAGGAGAATTCTGACTGGCTCGTTTTTACACTCTTCTTAACTACACTTCCTCCAACTGCCAATTTAAAGATCCTTGTACTCACAGAGTTGCAGAAGTGGGAAACCTAGCATCAAATTTTCTGCAAGGGAATATTGAATTTGTATTTTCAGAAATAACTGCTACCAACAGAAGTTTCACAGGAAAGCACATAAAGAGGGATTCTGTAGGGTAATTCCTCCCAGTACATCTCTATAGAAAAAAGAAGGATTACCTCTCCGGCTTATGATCAGGAGTCCTTTATTAAGCCCAAAGAGGTTTAGATTTCTTCCAGCACACATCCTATTTCATGTTTATGTTTCATTAGCGTAGTGTAGACACATAAGTGTAGACACATTACTCTCTACATTATAGCACTGCTAAACCAATGATCCAAGGAATGAATTCTACATTTTAATTGCACATAATGTGTTACTGGATGAACAATACAGCCTAGAAGCAATGGAAAAGGCATTGCATTTGAGCACAAGATGTAGCTAAGGCACTTCAAACTATCCAAATGACTCAGTTAAAATATGCCCAGGAAGATACCTGCCATTCCCTTATATTCAAAACTAATTCCACTGAGGACTGTTGTCTCCATGTTAGCTGGCAGAGTGTTCCACCATTTGTATTCAAAGCCTACAGCTGGCTCAGTCCCAACAGGGCAATTGATGCAGCCTAGGAAAAGAATAAAAAATGGTTAGTAGGGAAAGGTTTTCAGTAGGGAGAACTGATTCCCTTGAGGAAGGCTGTCACAAAGGAATTTTCCAGACAGACAGCTCCTAGCACTAATAATCAAAAGACTTTGTGCAACTATTTTGTCTTTCCCTCCTTAATAGATTTTCTGTAGAAAACAAAACAGCAGAAAAGGAAATGGTGGGAAAGCAGGGGACAGTGTGAATGGAGCAAGATGACTGCACAGCAAAAGGCTCATCTGGAAGGACTCAAGAGGATCAAACTACACTCTACCAATACACAGAGTAAAGTAACCACCTCGAGTAGCAGATCCTAGCAGTTGCAGGCCCCCAACCCATTCCATCCTAAGCTCCCTGGGCATTCCTCTCTCTTGGAGGATGAAGCCATGTGCACTGCACAGACTGTTCTGCATCCCTTAAACTATACTTCTACCTTCAGGTGTGGTGGGGGTGCCATCTTGTTCCCAATTTTAAACCCAGGTTCAATAGTCCACCCAGTTGATCAATTTCTGTGAAATGGAGGCACCAATTTGCCCTCTTCCTCGGACAGCAAAATGTCTTGGGCTCTCCCACACTGGAGGTATGCAAGAGGCAGCTGGACAGCCATCTCCCAGGAATGCTTTAATTTGCAGTCCTGCATTGAGCAGGGGGTTGGTCTAGAGCAGGAGTCTCCAACTCACGGCCCGTGGGCCAATTGCCGGGACGGGCAGGGCACGGGGGAGGGGCCCTGCGGCCTTCAAAGCACCAGCAGTGCCCCGGCCGGCCTCCAGGAGCGACGCGGGATGAGCAGCCCACCACCACCGCGGGGGTGGAATACTTGATATACAATACAGCCTCACCCAGACTCTACTTCCAGCGGCCCCCAGGTAAGTTGAGTTTGAGACCCCTGGTCTAGATGGCCTTACCATCCTCTTCTAACTCTATTCCATTATACTCACTCTGCAGGCATACTGTGACAGCAACATGTTTAAATAAGAACACCTACCAAAGATCTACTGGTCACTTTTTGGATGTAGTAAAATCCCCTTGGGCTGCGTATTCTCGTGAAGTGTTAAATGGCTTTGTGAAAGAGTCCCCATATTAAAATCAGCATTTTACTAGTTCTTGAGATATGTTAGAATGCAGTGTTTTTTGGAGCATTGTCACCTGATCTACTTTCACAAGACTGTCTCATCTGGCAGGAGTTTTTTGGACTTTGTTTACGGGGAAAGTCATCACATAATGAATTACTTTTCTATTTGTAGAGTAAGCTGCCTACTCCACAGCTTACTGTGGAATAAGCTGTGTTTATAGGCCTCCACAGTTATAGGCGGCCTATAAATACATGTATAAATAAATATTTCCAAACTGGAGCTACAGTATATAGCAACCCAAAGAATAAAACAGGTGTCCCCTCTGCAAATCGCCAGTGAAAATCCTGATAGAACAAAAGCTCCCTCCAGCATGCTTTTCTCTTTCTGTTAATCCAGTAGCAGCTATGAGTGAGAGAGTCCTTCCACAAGACGCATATATCATGCACTCCTTGTTCCCCTACTCAGGGTTGGTTGGGGATTCTTTGCACAAGGCTGTCACCCTCCAATTTCACTGCTGTCTAAGCAGCGCCTTTGGCAATGTTCTATTTGGGGAGGGAGCACTTAACTGTGAAAGTGAACGGAAGTACAATTTCCTCTTGGGTATTTCTACTATACTACAGTGTCACTTAAAGATTAGGTAGTCAGAAAGCAAGCACTCCTTGTACAATGCTCAGATCTCAGTTCTGACAAAATCAAAAGTAGATGCGTTGAATTAGCAGCTGATTAACAGCTCTAAGGAGACCAAGGAGTTCCCTACCTGGTGCTGGGTCCAGTCTTATTACTCTGAAATACAGGATCACTGTAAGTCAGAGTGAATAAGAGAAAAGAGAGTAGGAGCTGAGCTCACATAAGCAAAGCGGGGGCTCCCTGTCATGTCACCTCTGAATCCAGCAAAGTACAATTGACATGGAGACTTCAGATCCCAGTCAGTGGCTTCCTTGAAGATGCACTGATAACAGCTCAGCTCCTTGAAAGGTTGCACATTTTAAAGACCCGGGGTGATGTTGCCCAACTCAGGAGGAAAGAACGGAAGAGCATTACCAGACCCATTTGAATATGAGCCATATGGGCAGGGTTCGCAGGAACTGGTGTTTGTCTTGAAAAAACCCGGGTTGCAAGGCGGGCACATGGTTTTTACGCCCGATGGAGGCAATTTTACAGCACTGGGGAGATTCTCTGTGCAGATCTTTGGCTCGGCCCATTTATACATCAGCTGAGTCTGTGAAAATAAGTTTTTATATGCAGTTACTCTCATCAAACATTTCTATAACACTTCGGTATGCGTGGAAGTCTTATAATCCTTCCATTACTCATCTAGATGAAAACAATGACACAGGTCACTAGGGGCACTGACAAAGCTACATTTGCAAACAAACAAAAAACCAGCAGCGACTTTCCTCTGCAAGCTCACTGCTGATGGACATGCTTATGCTCCTCCAGATCCCTGAAGTGCTGCCCAGCCCAGCAGTGCATTGTGCTGACTTACTAGTGGCTGTGACTTCCTTCGCTTCCTCTGACTCCCCGAACCATTTTTGTGGGTGTTAAAGACTGAGCTTTTATATTCTTTTGAAAATGCAATTACTAATGCATTAAATCAAAGCAAATGCAGTGGATTTTGACTTCTTTTAAAAGGGAGCAGCCTAACGGAAGCAAGGTGGAGGAGGAAAGCCCAACGCATATAAGCATGCAAATGAATGGTAGGTAATGTTGCTTTTAACAAAGAGAAGATGAGAAGAAGCTAGGAATATTCTGCCAAGAAGAAAACATACAAATCAGCTGCTGTTTATAGATATTGTGTGAATGCAGCCGGGCAGAGCAACCCTGGGCCCCCTGGAAGAGTGTCCCATGGACACCTGGATTTTTCGCATGCTCCCTTCTGAGATTATAGGCACTTCTATGACCTCGGAAGGGGCACTCTGGGTTCTGATCCCCGGACCCCTCACAGCCACCATGGAAAGCTCTGCAATGGCTGCTGCTTATGAGCGCAAATCAAACTTTGGGGGGAGGAAAAAGGGGCATGCCAGTTGCTGGGGAGCCAAGAGGAGAGGCCAGGAGCCTCATCGCCCTCATCCCATGCCTGGTGGCACAAGCCCTTCAGATCATACCAAAGAGACACCACCAAGCGGGATGGAGAGAAGACTTGCCTCTCTTGCTCCTTCTACTCTGCTGAGTGAGGAGACTGGAAGTCAGCAGAGTTGAGATAAGATCCCCGCTTCCTGGTGGCAGAAGTGAATGTTGAGTGAACAATGGGGAGGAGGAAGGTGCGGAAGGCGCTGACAGGGGCACTCAAGGATCTGGGTGGGCACCAGGGCAGCCCCAGGCACCGCACTAATGCCTACCATAGACTATTCGGAGTGCTGAGATAACAGAGTGCTCCCTCAAGCGGCTGGGGCTCCTAAGCCCAAGGGAACTGGAGCGGAGAGGCAGGGAGTTGCCCAAGGCCATATACTGAGTTTGTGGCTAAACAGTGAGATGAGTCCAGATTTCCCAGCTCCAAAAACTAGCTTCTATTCAGAATTAAACCAGAGTGTTAGCAATAGATTCAGATTACTTGCACAGCAGTCTCTTTGTTTACTACATCCTGTTCTAACGCACAGGAAGGCAGACAACCTCGTAGCCTTTGCAGTAAAACCCAGTTTTACCTTTTGCCTGAGCAATTTGAGAGGGAGAAAAAACCTAGACTAACAACATGAGTGAAAGACTAAAGAAAATGGTCTCTTTGAGCAAGAGATACAAGGAACAGCAAATGTGCACATTTCCCTGCAATACGCCTCAACATGCCTGCAAGTTTATCACAAGAAATATTGTATAGTGCCTTAGGACAGATCTTGGAAGCACACCTTAAATGGCAGGCTAGAGGACTCCCTGCAAGACAATGTTTTAATAAATAAAAATAAATAATAAATCTACCCACGTCTAAGCATCCTAACCTGCCATTTAACAGGGAAGGAAAGGGCTGCTGCTCAGTGTTAGAGGCTGCCAGTCCATTGCGGAGACAATAGTATGCTGAATCAGGGGTGGGGAACATCCAGTCTACGGGCCAAAACCAACCTGCCAGGATGTCCTATCTGGCCCATGTGGCTTTGGGCAAGGCCCCTCAGAACAAAGAGGGGTGGGAAGGCAAGTGAGTTACACCTGCTAATGGGTCTGTCGAGGGGTGGGCTAGAGGGGGCCTGTCCTCCCTACAATATCTCTCCCCCTGCTTTTCTTTATCTTCTTTTTTCTTTGGTTACAAATGAATAATGAAAAACAGTTCACAATTTTGTCTATGAAAGACGTACAAGCCGGATGAGCTGTCGCCCTCCAAATGTTTGCCTTGCTGCAACTTTAGGTCTACTATTAGATGGACCAGCAGCCTGAATCAGTACAAATCAATTTTCTGTGTCCCTGCCTAAGGTAGAGGTGCCTACTCTAAGCTATTTTTGTGTTGCTCTTTGCACCTGTTTATATATATAATCATATACATACATGCATATAAATATTCCAGAAGGAAGAGTGACAAGAAGGGATTGCTTCCCCCCACTTTCTCCTGGAAAGAAATGAGTTGCTGTGAATGCAGTGTAGGGTTTCCCTCAATTGGTTTAGGAATAGATTGTCATTCCGGAATTGAGTGTCCAAAAGGGGGTGCTGTCTGCACACAACAATCAGCCATTAATGCAGGTACAATGCTTTGAAGCAGAAACATTAAAGCCAAACAACCAGCAGCCGTAAGGTGTGCTTCGCATGTTACTATGGTAATAACAAGGAATTCCAGAATTCGCATACCTCACTATTCGTATCACAGGCTGTATGTGTATAAAAATAATCCTTATCTGTACAGGCTGGGCGAGGCTTGCACGATGAAGAACCCGGTTCTTTATAGCAAAAAGAAACAGTGGTTAAAGGCACGTGGCATGGAAGAACCAGTACAGGAACATTTCAGCACCAAACTATAAATAAAGGGTGCTCTGCCCTGCCAACATTTTATGTCTGTGTGTGCGTGCATGTACACATGCATGCACACTCATGCATACATATACACACTTTCTGGCTTCAGTTATCATTTGCAGCATTTGCTCTTTTACAAACCATTGGAGAGTTCTGCAACCTGCCCCTTTTTTTCTTAAGATGGTTGATTCTGATAGGAGCATTGAAGAAAGTTTTGTATAATTAACATTCACAAAAAGAGCTGGCAGTTCCAAGCCTTTTGCTATGGGGAAAGAAAAAGTAGCAATAGTTGGTGAGGCATTCTAAGAATTTGGCACCTGGGATGGCATGCTGCCTTTTAAGCGGGCCGTTAGTGATCTTCTCTCCCTAGGCTCTACACGTTTGAGCAGCCTGGTAAAATCTGTCAAATGGAAGCTTCAGATCATCATCATACCCCGACTTGAGCTACGGTGTCATCCCCACCCAAGCTTTCAGACAGTTCAGGGTTATTGGTTAAAAGCCTTACTTAAAATTCTTCACTAGCAAGAAACCAAAATGCTGCAGTTCAACATGAAAAAGGTTGCTGCTCTCTCACAACAGGACAACATCAAGAGGGCTGCTGCTGAGCGTTGCCGGAAGCAGCACATGCTGCACCAAAGAGGAACTGAGCTGGAATAAGCCCGATAATTCAGGAACAGCCTTCATGTCTTTGCTCCAGGGGCAGGGAAAAAGTTCTGCTGAGCAGAGAAAGCTTCACTCAAAACATGACTATAATTACAGGGTAGCAAACACACATGCTTGGCCACATGGGAGAATGATGCTCCAAATCCAGCCATATAAAATCGCTCCCCCAACTCAGATATACATATGAGAACTACACCCAAGGCTACAGCACCTTGTCCCAGCCTTGGGACTCTGCCTAGAACAGCCATAAAGTCAGGTTCCCTTGAAGTTTTCAAGGAACTGATGTACACCTCTCTGTGCAGTCACCTGAATATGCGTTTGCCTCACATGGCTGGCAAGAAGTCGCTCCCTTGCTAGAGAAGAAGTTTGCTGGGCACTGTTGGCAAAAAGAAGATCCTGGTTTGGGCGCATATGTGCCAGCCTTACAAGGAAAGCACTCAGATGTGTAGGCTACTCCTAGGGAACAGAGAAAAACAGTGCAAGGGCTGCAGTGAGCAGAATAAACTTTTGGCTACCAATGGCAAACCAGCAGCTTGTACTGTGGCGCCAGCACCCCCCCGCACACACACACCCGCATGTACTCCATGCCCTAGCCAACACAAACCTGTAATGCCAATGTTCCTCACCAACACTGGCTTGGGAGTTTTGGACCATACGGAGAAGGCCGTTGTCCTCCAATATAGGACATTGTTGCCACGACTCAGCTCCACCTACAAAGAGCAAACTAAGATAGCAAAAAGCCTGCTGACAGCCAAATGCAGAACTGCCTTAGGCTTGGGTGCTGGCTCCCAAAAGGCACTTCCAGATTTCCTTCCACATGCCACAGCTGGCCACAGCTGGCCACCTGGACTGTGAGTGACGGTTCTCCACTTACACTGTGTGTCTCCCACCCTCTGTCTGAGGTTCTCATCCACCGCGACTCCTCCACGGACGGCTGGCACTGGTCATTCTGAACCTGTGACAGATGCAAAGGCAGGATAAGGATTTCCTGAGAGGTTCCTATGCCAGTCCTATGTGCCCCTGTGCCAGTGAGGCTCCTCATCTATTTCAGCTTTTATTTTGAGCTTACTGGTGCTATCTATGGTGCTGAACGCCACCCCCAAAGTAGGTTCACCACCATGGAGGGCCCGTGCTCAGAGGGCCTTCTCCTCACAACACATCCTTTCCCCCAACCCCCATTCATCTCATGATTTCCTAGCTTTTGAGCAATTTTCCCCCATTCAAAAAGGCTGACATGCATGTGAAATAGTTTAATTACTGGCTGTCAGAGGGTTAAGTGAAAATATCCTGGTATTTTTAGTCCACCCTGTTTTGTTTTCATCCCCACCCAGTCCTGGAGAACTCTGAAATGAAATCTGGCTCTTCAGCTGAAACAAGGTTTGTCTGCCTAGCTTAAGGTCACACATTCAAATTGAACTTCTGGATACAACCTCTCTTGCTACTGGAGGGCAAAACTCTTTTGAGCCACCCAACTGTATTCATAGCTTTATGGCCAGAAAGATAAACTGCGATGAGTTTTCCTAGACTCCTACAGAGCACAGGCTAGATAAAGGGACCTAACTTATTCTCTGGCAGCTAAATTTGTACATTTAATTATGTTGTGTCCATTTCAGGTCTACCTGTAATTACCGCTTTCTTCAAAGCGATAAAGCAGCAGAGCAACCCCAGTAAAAGAAATAACCACAAAGTGCAACTCAATACACATTAGAGTTGTTGAATCAACTAGAACACACTTTAAAGAATACACTGGCAGATAATTTAATGCCCCTGAAGGAGGCATACATATTATTTGGAACCATCTTCATGACCACTGCACTTTAGTGAACAGGGAAAGAAATGGTGCCAAAATATAGCTGTGTTTGTTTTTAAATGACCATGTGGAATGCCAAGAAGGGTAGGCCATCATTCCTTTCAAAAGGACTGCAAAAATTATTACTGACAAAATGCATCTGCCACCAAATGTAATGTCATAAAGAACTGCTTTGCAGTTGCTTAGACTAACTGCTAAGACAAATTGATTTTCCTTTCATTGCTTCTGGCTCCCCTCTTCCCCACTCCTCTTTTACCTGGGAAGGCGTGGTACTGGCTGTAATTTTCTCAGTAGCCCCTGCTGTGATGATGCAGTGGTATCATTACAGCTGTGGGGAGGCGTGACACACAGCTTCACCTAAACCAATTCCTCCTTCCTGCCTTACTTTCCCTTGTGATGGGGGCATCATGTACTCAGACAAATGACCTTGGAGACAAACGAACTGCAAGCTGAAATGATGCAGCAAACCCTGTTACAGAAAGCAAGTCTGCTTATATATGGTCTCTATGCAGCCAAAGTCAGATCTCCCGGGTTTCTAATGTAAATGTCAGAAATCCATTCCTTCAGCCTTAAGGAAGGGTAGACCCAGAAGGCAAATACCAGTGCTGCAGTGGCCAGTTCCAGCATTCCAGCACATGGGGGAAACCATTCCTGGCCCAGCCTGCCATAATAAAAAGCTAGGCCATTTCCTGTTACTGAGCCATGGGAAACCTACAAAGAACTCAAAGACGATGCTGCTGTCTGTGTAGATGTACTCAAAGGAGACAGTGCCAGATTGCTTGAGATTAACAGCATACATCAGAGTGGCTGTGCACTCATCTGTGTTGGAGGCAATGTAATCTCCCTTGGGAACCCACGTAGACCTGGAAGAGAAGAGAGAAAGAAGCCCAGCAGTTAGAGGACTGTTGCTGCTCAGCACCAGAGTAGAGACACTCCCAAGATATTACAAGAGAGTTACATTAACATTAGGATGGAGGCAGAAAACTAAAGAGACACATGCCAAATACTGTGCCTCCACTAAGACGTGGGGTGTAAAATTTATGAAAGATGTACTCTGTTATCCTAGCCAGCAAATGAAACTGCTCAGAAGCAGTCTGCTTCTATGGCAGTTTTGGCTGCACCTGGAGAGTACAGGCACTTAAGAAAGAGGTCTGCACTTAGCTGAACCATGCTGGCATTTTACAGAAATGTTTGAGCCTGCTTCATGAAGATCAGCATATATTCTGCATGTCACTCATATCCATTATGTCTGAGAGCATGAGCCTGCAGAATGGTAAATGAAACTCCAAGGCATAACACACATTCTAGGAGTGTTTTTAAAATGTCAAAAAATGAAACAAGAGTTGGACTACAACTCCCTTAATCCCTGAATGTCGGTTCTGCTAGCCGAGGTTTATAGAAATTATAATCCCAAGCATCTGGAGGGCTCTAGGTTGCCTATCACAATGCCAGGAAGGTTCTAGTGGCACCTTCACTTGAGGGTCTTTCCATCAATCGCTACTACACAAAATCTTCTCAATACCTTATGGAGTGTGCCCTCCACAACAGTCCAGCAAGTCCATTGTTATTTCTCTTGTGGGCACAGCAAACTGGGGTCAGGGGTAGCTCTTACCCAAGCCCTTGATCCAGAACTAGTCACGCCGAATGAACATCATGGGACAAGTGACTCATGGCTAACTTAGATTCTACTGATGTCAATGGGTCTACTCCAAATTTATTTATTTATGGTCATGGCTGCCCACAAATTGTGATGCTAATGGGCGGTCTTTAAACAAATTTAATAAATAAAATAATCAGTAAATAAATATATGGGCCCAACCTAATGAGGCTGTGGCAGAAGAAACTCGAACTCAGATCATCCAGATCCCAGTCCTACTCTCTAGCAACATTCAGCCAAGCATGGATTAGCCCTGCATTACATTATAGTGGCACAGATTCTGCCAGGGTTGATGTTCTGACAATACTGGAAAGGAAGAGTGGGAGAACCCTGGAAGTTACCCTTAGAAACCTTCAGCTTCTCAGGCAAACAGCAGACATGGAAGAAGGGCAAGACAGTTATGAGGCAGTAGGGAAGAGACAGATGTGCCACTCGGCTTTGTGAAGTCCTCAACATTATTGAATTCTGCCAGCCTCTCTCCCTCGCCTTCTCTACTCCTTGAACCTCCCTCCTTTCCTCCACATGCACCTGTCTGCTTCCCAGCCAGATTAGACAATGCCCCCTTCCCAGAAATCACTCTGGCATTCTATCAAAAGCACCCTGTCTTGTCAAACCTTTCCCTTTCTCCTTCAGTTCATTATTTTTCAGTTTTAAAACTATGCACCAACTTATCTGTATTTTGCAGAAACAGAGCAGGGGAAAGTCCAAGCATACCTTATAAAGCAGGTGATATGGGATTTCATATACATTTATGAAAGCCAAAACCAACTAGCTGCACACAGACACACACACCTGCACCCCATGAAAGGTACCCCTGAATCTGAGAAAACTGGCAGATCCAGACAAACCTTAATGAAACGACCTGACATGTTAATCTGCTGCTTGGCTTCTATGAATACACTTAGAAGTCTGATGAATAATTTAAGTGATAACAAGAAGTAGGTTACATTTGCAAGTTGCACAAACACTTTGCAACACCAGGTTGTTGAATTTTTCTAGCAAAAGCTATTTTTTAAAAGGGTGTCTCTCCTGCCAGATTACTCTGAGTTCGCTTTTCTTCAGCATCAACATGATCAAAGCTCCAGGAAAAGAAAACAAGGCAGCAGAACTGGTCTCCAGCAGGTAAGCTTTGGAGACTGAGGGCAGGCAAAAGCTTCAGAGCCTTTGACTAGAGCTAACCTCCTGCGCGCATTAAGATGCAGAGTTCACAAAATACCCCATTGATGCATTGCTATTTCTAAAAAAATATCTTTTACTTTATTTTCACAAGATACTATAAAAAGAAGAAAGAAATATATAGGAAAAAAGGTGCCAAGGGTCAATCCACAGATATAGCATGTGATAGCAACAATTTAAACACATTCATAAAAAAGCGAAAATCTTTTTTAGCCACAGCTCCTTCCAAACCATTCAATTCTCACTCAAAGATTTGTCCAGTGTATAAAATTAGTTATAAATTATAATATTGCTTTAGTTTTAAAAATAAGGATCATTGCCATTTGTAAAAATTATATTTTCTTTAATTGTTCATAATAAGCTTTCCATCTCTGATGCAGTATTATGCTTAACAACCAGGATTAAAAGCATGGGTGGGTAATTGCAGAACAGTATGACTAAAATTCCTGCTGGATGCATGTGTGAAAGTAACCACACCTATTAGAAAAGACATACAAAAATTTGGGATATGTCAAATTTAACGAGGTCTGTAGGTTCTCTTTCCTAGCTCCTTGGCTTCAGTATGTGTGATTCATCCTGGCTGGGAGGCAATGGCTGAGATCTGCTAGTACTACTGGAACAGCTGTCCAGGTGAAAGTAAAGGGAGTGGATAGCTCTTAGTTTTGAAAAATGGAGTAGCGCAAGGACTCCCTTGCCCTTCTAGGCTTCCACTTTAGCGCAATGTTAACACCACAGGGAGCTGCAGCCCAGGTCTGCCCCTACAGCAAATACTCTGCATGAGTTTAGAATAGACTTGCCACTGTACTATACTAATGCCCTATTAGAAGAATAAAAAATATGGGAGTGGGGAACCGGGCATGCCACATCAACTCTCAAATCCAAAACAAAATGCAAGGCTAAGGGTCAAATTCCTCCTCCAATTCCCCTCATTCCCATTAGCACATTCCTAATTCACATGTTGGATTGAAAAAACTAGGAGCACTGGTATTGCTTATAGAAAGATGTCCAATGAGAATAGGAAGCAGAAAGGGGAGCTGGTGTGGCATGGAAGTTAAAACTGCCTAGAACCAGCTGGGAAACCCAGGTCCAAATCCCTGCTTGGCCATTAAGGTCACTGAAGGACCTTGGGCCAGCACCATCCCTCAGCCTTACAGGATTGTTCTAAAGATTAAAGTGTGTGCTTGGGGGAAGGGGATCTAGATATGTCACACTGAAGAATGGGGGGGATATAAATATGTATGTATGCATGCATGCTTGCATATAAATGTCTGCATGGGTGCCACTAGGAAAGAGCATGGGATATGACTGTGTGTGTGCATGTATACACACGCATGTGTAAATGCATTGATTCTGGGTCAGTGTTGCGTCTAAGTTTTGCAATTGTATTACATAGCAATTCAGGCAGAACAGCCATGCTTAAAGCTTCATGCAGAGAAAGTCTGAACGGGTTTGCATGTCACAACCCCTCATTACCGCAATGGGTTGCCCTGAAGCACCGAGCAGCCACCAGCCACGAACCTGACAGATCTGGCTCACTGTGGTTGTTTTCTTCCCTCTCGCTGCCTCCTTTCCTCTTATTCCTCCAGGCAGCATACCAGGGGACACTGGGGAGAAGACTAGACTGCCTTTCTTTGACAGCTGTGAGCGGGAGCCAAGTTTGGTTTGCCACAGCTGTCAAGCAGTCTCTGCCATGCACACAGGACTCGTGCCCTGAAGCACAGCAGAGGGGATGGGGAAGCTGACCAGGCATCCTTGTCTCCTGCTCTGGAAAAGACCTGGGGGAGGGTTGTAGATCAAGTAGTATCCCAGCCTATAAACCTGACTGCAGTGTCTTGGAGTGCCTTTTACCATCTCAGATTGGTTTGCCAACTATAGCATCACCTGGACAGGGAGAGCTTAGTCACAGCAATACAGGTGTTGGAAACCTCTAGACAGCATTAATGCAATGTGCTCAATGTGGGGCTGCTCTTAAGCTGCTCTGCAATACAGTAGCTCAGCTGTTGTCAGAAACTGCTTTGTTTCAGCATGCAGCTCGCTTAGACTGGCTACCTACTCAGTACTGGTCCAAGCTTGAGGTTTTAGCACCAGGGTATAAAGCCCCAAACAATTTGGAATCAGGATACCAGAGAGAAAACCTTCTCCCTTACCAATCTGTCTCATCACTGAGGTCATTGAAAGACATTTTCCTGGTGGGCCCATGTACACCCATGCCCAACTGGAGTCCACCAAGACAACAGTCTTCAGGGTGCTGGATGCATTTCTATGGAATTCCCTGCTCCAGGAGGTCCAACAGACACTAACTCTGTGCTGTTTTGATGGCATCTTTTTTCTTGGGCATCTTTGTTCCATGAAGTCTTTCTTGTGACCATTTACAGTTTTAATGTTACCTTGTTTTTAATGCTCTTAACATATTGTTGTTATTCATCTGCTCTTAACTTTGTACTATTCACCGCTCCAGAAACATCCATGGTGGGCTGAGACTGATAGCACAGAAGAAGGAAGGAAAGGTGTGGGTGGACAAGCCGCCTGTTTCTGCCAGCTGTGAAAAGTGGTTGCATATGCAATGGCTAAATCATTCCTTGGAGTAACTGAGAAGGGCTTAAGTAAGTGGGATCCCACTGGTTATCTCCACAGGCCAAGTATGGGTCTATGGCAGGGGGTTGGAACCTTTGACCCTTGTTAAGTCCAATTCCCATCAGCTCATCCAGCACAGCCAATAGACAGGGGTTGGGATTTGTAGTCCAGCAACATGTTGAGTGCACCAAATTCCGCAGCCTTCATCATGAGCTAACAAGGTGTCCATCCTTGATTTAGGCCCCTTTCCTAACAGTGCAGTACTTCCAAAAAGGAAAGGAAAAGTGCCATTGAGGAGAGAGCCAAAAAGTGCATTAGGAGAGAACCAAATATGCAAAAGATGGTACAAGAGGTGGTGGTGGTGGGGATTATAGTAACTCGGGCTGTCCTGAGAATGCAGCTGATCATCTCAGTAACAGTAGCAAGTGGCAACTGCTTGCACTGCTTTTAAAACAAACATGTCAGCCACTGTAGATCAGGGCTGGGCAACCTTTGGCTTTCCAGGTAGATTGGCCTACAACTCCCATCAGCCCAAGTCAGCATAACCAATAGTGAGGGATCATGAAAGCTGAAGGCATTAAAAAAAAGAACTTAAAGTTGCCCACACTTGCTGTAGATGGAAGAGACTTTGCAAGCTGTAATTGTTTTCCAGAATTAGGAAAACAAGAAGTTAATCATGAGCTGAGAACTGAGCAGCATGTTGGAAAACAAGCCATGTCGTATGAAAAATTGTTAGATGTTATTTGACTAATGTTGACTTTCATAATTATAAAGGTGCAAACTTGGAATAGCAAGCTAAATGGATAAAATAACATCCTGCTCATTAAAATAAATGAACATTCATATTAAAAGCTGCAATAGGAATGCTTCTTCATTCATCCTCTTTTCTTACTAGAGCAAGAAGACAAAAACTGAATGCACAGAGCAGCTTTTGAAAGAAATAATAGATGGGGGAGGGGAGACTGTCCCTACACAGATGCCTGAATTCATAAAGGCATTTAATAATAAAAATACCTTTTCTTTTAGCATCCAATACTTGTTTTGCAAAATACTGAGGCCATTTTTCTGGGGTTTGACAAATCTGATATTAAAAAAATAGCACAGAAAGGGATACTATTAAATACTTGTTTACATTTATTGATAGTCTGGGAAATTACTATAAATATTTTAATATCCTGGCCTGTTCATACAGTATTATAGTCTTTGAGTTATTTAGTTTTGTGTGTGTGCACGCAGATGCACCTGTATGAAACACACAATTAACATGGCTATATCTCATAATGTCTGAATTTAGCTGTTAACATTTTTTTTTATTAGAAATGAATTGTTTTTTCCATTTTGTCAGCAGGAAAAACTTTGAACTTAAAAACAAATGATGAACTCTCAGAATACCTTTTCTTTAGTAAAAAAATGATTAGGGTGAGATAGTCCAGAATGAGCAATTATAGATTCTAAATTTGAGGTTCAAACTAAGATTGCAATACTGCGCATACTTACTGGGAGAAAGCCCCAGTGTACTCAATGGAATTTATTTCCAGGCTTGCATATATACTTCTGCACTTTTAGCCATGTGTTAGTGCAAAGTGATATACAGCACTTAAAAGGAAATAACAGACTGTTTCTTAAGCCTCTTCTAAAAAGTAGGCTCCATGTTTTTATCTGCTAAAAGAAAAATGACATTACAAATGACCTTTTGTAAATCCCAATTTATTCATTTATTTTATTTATTCAGTTATATTTTTAATCCACTCAATAACTAGTATTCTCTGGGTGGTTGGCCCTACATGCCTAGAATTTGCCACTAGGTGCCTTTTGCAAATCTACAAATGTTTGAGATCTTTTCTGCATGAAGTATCTATTAAGTACTTATCATTCCCTACTCATGACTGTTCATGTGTTCTTTAGGTAATATTATGACCCTTTGGTCTTCTGTGCCTAACCAGCACTTTTGATGAGGTTTTTCTACTGCAGTGAAAATGTAGACAGCAGGGATGAGCTTGGAATAAGAATGATATAAGTCTGAAGACAAAAAGTTAGAAAGAAAAATCAGAACCAAGGGTGCCTCCTTTCCAGGTGGATAGGAGTCTGATTGTCCTTTCCTTTCACAGAAGTGAAAGTCAAACCTTTCATGCTTGTTCCACTCCTTTGTGAACAACAAAAAAAGGACATTTTTCTTTATGCAGCTCATAACCAAACTATGAAATTTGATACTATAAGATGCAGAAGTGACCACCAACTTGGATGGCTTTAAAAGGGAATTAGACAAATTCCTGGAGGCCTAGGCTATCAAAGGCTATTTTTCATGATGGCTAAGTGTTATTTCTAGGATCAGAGAAGTGCGCCTCTCTATACTAATTGCTAAGAAGCAGGACTGGGAAGGGCCAGGAACTTTGGTGGCCTGAGCGTCACCAGTTGCTACTCATGAGCTATAAACAGCAGCAGGAGAACCCATAACTCAGTGGCAGAGCATGTGTTTGACACACAGGAAGTCGCAGGTTCAATCTGTTGTAGCTTTAGTTAAAGGAATAAAAACAGATGTGGTTTCCCCAGGCCCTGCAGAACTTCTGCCAGCTAGGCCAGGTAATACTGGGCTAGACAGTCAGCCTGTCTAGCTTCATGTGTTCAGCTGAAATAGTTGGGATGCAAAATGCAATTACCAAAGATTCTAATTTGTAGTTATTTATGCAGTTAAGTGTACCTTTCCCCCAACATGTTTTCCATATGTGATGCATTACAACTCCTATCCTATCATACCAACACAGGTATGATGAGAGTTTCAGTCCACCACACATGAAGGACACCAGCAGAGGCTCAGTGAATGAATTTAACTAATTTTCCTGATACAAGCACAGCAAGCACCAGGGCAAAGCTAGATGTGACAAGACAGTCAATATTCACTTCCAGGTGAGATGTGCTTCAAGCAGCAGAGTTCAATGAGGCAAGGAAGTGGCAGGAGAAGATTAAGTTCCACTCTTTCCCTTGTTGTTGTTGTTTTTTTTTTTTGGGGGGGGGAGATACCTGCACCCTACTTTGTATATTAGCAAGGCAGAGACAAGCATGCATGGCCTTGTCACATCTAATTAGGTCCCTGAAGGAACTGAATAAACTGAGTGTGTGTGCAGCTGTTATGTACAGGACCAAAATCAAGGGTCTGGCTATTGATAAGAAACAGGGCTGTCTCTGTTCCATTATTTGGTGTAGCTACTGCTTTGTACACCACACAAAGTACTTCTGTACTTTGAAAATTCAAATTCAAAAATTGGTGCTGAGTACAGAATTCGGCATCCCAAGAAGCTGAGCTTTCATTTAAAGAGACAGAGGGAGAGGGAGAGATTCTGCTCCACAGGACCTCAGAGGTAGGCTTTGCTGATGAAAATGTGCAGCATTTTCCCTAAATAAAGGGAGTCAGGGTTGCCTGCACAAGGGGTAGGATTTCAGTGCAGTATATATTGCTTTGCCCTTTCCAATGATTTGCAAAGCCAGACTAAATTATGCAAAGTAAGCGAATATAAGAAAATGTATTGAATTTGCACTTTGTAGAACTTAGATTTTCCTGGCGCAGAATTTGAACCACACTGGGAGGATTCATACAGACAAACATGATTGTCAGGATGCCTAGGCTGTTGTAGCACATGAACCGTGCAGTAACTGATCACAGTTCCAGGAATAAGTGGATTCTCCCCATTTCCATCCAGTTATTTTCCAGCAGTGTCGTTCTGCTCCATGTCCCACACTGCCTCCCTTAACTTGGGAGAATTTCTCAAATTACCTTTGGAGCTGGCAGATACTCAGTTTGCCGGAGTTTTTAATTCATGTCTCCCTTACAAGTGACTGGGGCGTACCAACAAAAGCAACATATTCACTTTGATTTTATCAAGCTGGACATAAATCTTGATACCATAACCATATCAGGATCTCTATGTTGCACTAATGCACATTAATGGTACACTGGTGCACATTAGTTAACTACATTGAAAAGAAAATATTGGAGGGGGCATACAAACTGATAAATGGCATCAAACTAAGCAAGTGCAGCAGTCTGAACAAAATCCAAAATCAACAGAAGAATGGCAGAAAACATTGGTGCTGCTCTGGAAACAAGACTGGGTAATTCAGGTCTAAACTACTTAAATCAGGACTAAACTAATTTTAGTACGAGGACTAAACTACTTAGATCCTTTGTTTTACTTCTGTCTAACTGATCTGGATCAAAACCACAGCACACAGGTAGTTAGGACTCAATTTTCCTGCTCAGCCACTTCCCTTCACCTAAATTCACAGGTGCCAAAGAAACTCCACTCTGGTGCTAGAGGAGTTATTCTTTCTCTCTTTAGCCCTGTGAGAGGGTAAGAGAGAGTGTTGGGATGAGAAGGCTTAAAACCATGCCTGTGCTTAATAGTCCCAACGTGAATTGCAGCCACATACTCAAAGGTAAAAACAAATTAGCTGGTCCAAATGTGTAGCAAAGTGTGTAGCTTAGCCCACAAAATTCCATAATCTGGGAAGAAATTCACAAACATCCCTAATCCAGTTTTTAGAATCTGCAGCTGTAAGGGAACCAGCTGAATTTATGTGGTTTGATTTCCTAAGCCCAGCGTGCTCCAGCATCAACGATAACAAGTTCACTCACATGCTGCAGTTTCCCAAGGGCTCTGTGAAGCTGTAATCAATTTCAAGGTTGGCTGCTGTGCTGGCAAAGCCATGGGGCAGCTCGTCCCATTCGTCGAACCTGATGCCAGTCCCCAAGGAATATGTGGCCTCCGCACATGGCTTGCACGACTGATTTTTCATGTCCAAAAATTCACCTGCTTTGCAGGAAAATGCTGAAATGCAGAAGAGCACCAACAGGGAGATCAAGAGAAACAATGAAGAAAAAACAAAAACAGAATTTCCAGAATGGTTCCTGGCATCTCTACAACAGACTGCCATTGCACATCTGTTTTGACCAGACTATACTCAGCCGGGATAATGCCTTCTGACAATATTGTTGATTCAGTAAAGCCCACAAGAAGGTGGCTTCCCTCCCCTCAAACTTTATCCAATATCGCTAGCTGGGGGATGCTGGGAGTTGTAGGTCTTTTTGCTGTCTGGACATGCATGGTTTGTGCTCCTAGAAACAAATGAAGGCAGGGATATTTATGTATTAAATATCTATTTAAAGACATTGATACCTTACCTTTCTGTTGTGCTTACTGGACCCTAAAGCTGAAATACAATTAATGGCGGAAAAAGCAGTACTCCTTTACAAACTTGACTGGGCATAGGTCCCACTGAAATTCTACATGCACTTGTATAGGATGGCCCTAAACGCCACACGCAACGGGAAGTCATGTGTTTTCCCTACATATACAACCTGCAGTGAGTCATGTTGACATATGCCCCGATCCCTTCTCCTCTGCTTTTGCAGTTGTGAGATCAGAAGTCCACTATTAAAAAATGATGGATTCCTATAACATTTGAAGCAGATCAAAAGAGCAGAAGGGAAAAATAACACTTGGAAGTTGATATCCACAGATATTCAACTGAGCCAATAGATTCACTAATGCAAGTTAGCTTTTATGTGGTGATGAAAAGCCAAGTGGCTCTCCTCAGTTAGGGAGCCTCAAAGAATGAGAGCCTCTACAAAAAGGGCCATCTCCAGTATACCCATTGGCTGAATTTCCAATGCCAAAAGGAATATCTGATGGAAAATAAAATCAGAGTTTGTCACTTTTAGATCTTGGTTCTTTTTTCTTTACTGGCTCAAGCCTGACATTGAATTTTAATTTTTGCTCCCATCACTTAATTTCTGAAGTCAAACTTTAGTGAAGAAAACATTTTTCAAAAAAATTATCAATAGTTCTAGAACACTAAAAAGTGTTAGATTAAAAAAATAAATTCTAGACACTTCATCATATTGTTGAATACACACTTGCTGCTGGTGGTGAAGTCTGAATACACACTAGGATCTAGTTATTTTCATCATAAACTTAGCAGGTGTCACCAGTTAAGATCCTGTTTCCTGTTGCATCTCATTTGAAAAAAGAATTGGCCTTAGCTAGATTTGGAAATGCTACATTTTATGTGGTGTTTCTACTCTAATCATGTGGTGTTTCTACTCAAAGACATGGCAGCCTTTAAAACACACATTGATCCAAATTGATTACTTGCTTACATGGGATTTTACTCTTAGCATTATATTCCTTCAGGAGGAATGAAACTCTTCTCAGAGCCAACTGGCCTGTAGGCATGAAGAAATCACAGCCAACTTCTCCCCTGATTTATATCACAATGTGAATGGAGAATTAGAATCAAAGCATATTAATTGTTCTAAACTATTGGGCTGTAACGCATTCCAGCTGCTTCTAATACAAAGCTCTTTTATGGCCAATGTCATCCAAAGAGGAACAATGTCTCTTAATTTTTTTTTTCTTATTTGTGACTGGGATTAAGGAGTTGGTGCAGAGACCAAAGGACTACTTCCTCTCATGGATGTGTGACTCATGTATTGTGGAAAAGAGAAACTAAATGTGTGATAGAGAGGGTATGTGCACATATGTGGATGTGGAGAAAGTGTGGAGTGAAAGGGACATTTCTAATATGGTGCAAGTCATTTTCAGTTTTTAGAAGTACATGCATTAAAACCCACAATATTTTTTTTAAAAAACCAACCCAAATCTGCTGCCAAATGAATGGATTCCTTACCTGAAGGAGCGCTTACGTTCATATATGCCCGCCTGCCCCTTGAGATCAGCAGGAGAGGCCCTTCTCCGGGAACCCTCCGTGAAGGAAATTAGGAGGGTAAGTACTAGGAGGAGGGCTCTCTGTGGTGACACCCTATCTATGGAATGCGCTCCCAGAGAGGTCCGCCTGGCGCCGTCGTTATTTGTTTTAATATATATATATATTAAATATTAAAATATTAAATATTTAAAATATTTAAAATATTAAAATATATTTAATATATATATATATATATATATATATTAAAATATATATAAACTAAAACGTTATTTTAATTGTTAATATTATTTATTTTATTCTTTGGCCAGGGCGACTTAATTTATACTGTTAAATTATATTGTTTTATATTATGTTATTTATTTATGATTGTGAGCCGCCCCAAGGCTTCAGCAAATGGGGCGGCATACAAGTTCCCTAAATAAATAAATGAATAATGAATCACAGGGGCCTCTTAAGACAGTCAGTTAATTGGCTCATTCTGCATTTCTAGTTAAAGCTATCACCCCTGTCCACAGGCTACATATTTAAAGAAAGAAAATCAGCAACATGTCAGCTTCAACACAGACACAGCAGTATGCATGTTCTCAATGTTTTTCTCCTCCACACAATATTCAAATACATTTAGCTACTGGTCAGAGGAAAATCAGACAGTCAGATATTTCAGATCAGCAGAGACTTAAACTTCTCTTTTCTGAATCTTTGGGTAGTAGCAGAGGTGGAGAACCAGGTCTACTTCCAAGCAAGCACTACAGGTGACAGAATAGCCCTGAAATGACAGTGCTGCCTGTGCGACCCAAAAATAGCCCTCTCGTGTCCTGTGTGCTGGAATCAGCAGGGGAGGGAAGATGCGGTGGCGGCAAACATGGCTTACAGCATTCTGTGCCTTTGATGGGGTCTGGCAAGCCAGTACAGAGTCCTGGGGTGTGAGGCACAGCGACTCTCCATCGGAAGCCAAGGCTGTCACATGCTGTGTACTCATAATGGTACTCAGACTGAAAGAGAAAAAAAAAACAGGAATGAAATAACACGACGTGCATTTTGCACAGATGATTGACACTTTTTCCCTTATTACAGATGACTGTTTCTCCATGGGACATCATAAAAGAGCATCATTATTTTAAGATGCACAGAATGTTTTGCTATAGGAAAAGGGAGCCTTACGGTGTCCTTGAAATCCCAAGACAAGAAAAGGCTGCTCCAAAGCTGAGGTATCATACCAAATATGCCATGGGCTGGCCTCCAAGCTCCAAAAAGAGACATATCATTCTATTATCTAGAACATTCACTGATAATTTATATGAATCCAACAGTAAACCAGATTTAATCACCCCATGCATTTAACACAACTATTGATACAAAGCAGATTAGAATATTTCTTTGGCAGATGACAGACCAGGCCTCATACTAAAAACTGGATGCAACTCCATTTACCAAAGCATAATAAAAGTATTTTCAGAATGGCTTTCCTCCTCCTGTAACTATAATGTGCTAATTGTGTAGCTTTGCAAGTCCTAAATAATATTCTCCAAACTGTTGGTACAGCCAGGGCGTGAGAGTTCTAACTTTTTCCCCCAGCCATGACATTAGGTGCAGCAGCAACATGCTTTCCTAACAGGATTCCTACCGGGACATGCTCTGTCAATCTAGCATCCTCCAAATGCACTAGAGTACATTTTCCACCATTTTTCTTTTCCTTTTGTTTTGAATTGGATTATCATAAGCACAGAATTCTAGTGCTTTTTGTACATTTTCCTCTTAGCTGAGCAAAATTTGGCTGAATATATTCCACTGCATACATAAGCATAAATTTCTGCCACTCTGTGTAGCTCATTTCTTTCCACTGCATTCAAGCTATCAGGCTGACTCAACTGTAGCTTCCAAGGCCATTTCTGCTTTAAACATGTAATCTTCAAAGCCACTCATAAACCTACACGTCATGTTGATTTCAGCAGGCTTTATATGTGAGGAAACAGTTACAAAGCAAGTAGTCTTAAATGGCGTACACATGCAATTCTAATAAAGAGAAATTCCTTCAACAGAAAGATAATTTACACAAATGCAGATGCCTGGATAGATGTTTGAATGCACACTGGCAAAACAATAAAAACTCAGAAGTGGAACTTGGAAATAGAAGGAGCATTGTGCCGCACTATTTTCTTACAATGAACTCAAAGTGGCTTACATCATTCTCCTCCTCCTGCTCTCAATCTTCCCCACAACAACCCTGTGAAGTAGGTTGGGCTGAGATTCTGTGACTGGTCCAAAATCCCCCAGCCGGCTCCATAGAACCCAGGTGGCCTGAGTCCCAGTCCTGCACCCTTAACAACTATACCACACTGGCACTAACACAAATAGCTGCCTGTGAGCTCTTGCTCATCCAGTTCCATGGCCCGCACTCATCTGAAACTCTCCTGTTTCTTCAAATGTCTTTGCTAAGGATGCCTAGAACATGCTTGTGATGCCACTAATTTAATCCAATTTTTCTTCTCCGAGTCCTCCATTTCCATAAAACCCTTGGCAAAGCCTCTAGTCTTCATTTCCCATCATAGATAAGCTTAAGTGCAAGTAACTGATGCAACCACATATTGACTGGGTTCACATGACACAACAATATATCATGGGTGATAAGCTATAATGAACTGTCATATCATGCAAACCTGGGCCGTTTCCTGCAGGGTGGCTTGCTCATGGGCATAAGCCACCCTAACAACACATTAAGGTGTTTCACAATTGGTTCTTGTGTTATACGAACTTGGACAACCAACCCAACCATGTGCACAAGGAAACAGCTAGCAAACCACTTGGCAAGAGGCAAATGCCCCTTGTCATTCTTGCCAAATTTACCCATGCTGTATGCTCGAACAGCACAGTGCAGTTTCTTCCACCATTGCTATGAGCCATTTTCATTAGCTGCAGACTTTCTTCCTCTCCCCTCTTTTTATATTTGGGGATGCATATGCTCTGGCACATCATCCATTCACAGCAAAAAGGCCAGTGAGCGTCTCACCACTGTAGCCACAGTTAGAGGCTGGTGAACGATCATGTTGCAATGGTGAAGTAGAAGCCTTTGCAGTAGGCCCTTG